CCTAACAGTGAACACTTTTCACGAACACGTGCGAATAATATCCGTGTGAAGAGGTGTAAAGATCATTAAGCGAAAAACTTTTCGCATTGCATATGAACTGTCCTTGGCGTTGTAATTTCTGACAAGATTCTGACAAAATTGCAATTACATATTAAAACATTTTTACAGTAAACTTAAAGAATAAAATCAATAACGAATATTTCTCAACTAATAAACACTAAAATTATACAATACATATATATCTTTCATTAAAAAACTATAACTATAATATAGTCATATGTTTGTAAAACATATTTTGTTGTAATATAACAAAGCATGTTTTTTACAAAGTATTAACATGGTATAATTTTAGCTAATCCTATAAAAGTTAAAAACTGATCATATTTTAGTCTGGATTAAGCTCTTGGATTTTTCTAACCAAATGTATTTTTTCCTAACTAGTACGTTTAGTTTTTTTTTTGGTTTAGTAACAGAGACAATGAAGATAGTGTAAAGATATGCTCTTCCGTGTATGAACTTAATAGTAACTCTAAATTTTATGTAATACTTTTGTTCAGGTGCTTTGAATTTTAGTATTTTCTTTTTGAATTCTGTGGTTTGATTAATATATTTATTTAACAATTGCAACGGACTATATTCTATTTCACATTAAGTTGTTATAAATTGATCAAAATATGCATTATGTAATATTATAATACTTATGCTAAATATAATTACAGAATAAAATTAATATTTATGAAAAATATAAAAAATATGTAACTAATGAATGAAAAATTACATAAATAAATGATCATTATATAGAGTGCTACCGGCTCCTTGTGACGGTTTGCAATATATTTATAGGAAAGTATGCTAAATAATTTTTAGAGTAATAAGGAATAAAGAAAACATTTTTATTAAGTTTATGTAAATTAATTTTAAAAGATAAGAGACTTAATGAATAGGATTTAACAATAATGTTATTTAATAGTTTTTTCAAGATACGTGTTGTAAGGGTCTTGTCATATAAAATTTTTAAGTCAAATAACTGGAGTACACTTTGTTAACTAGAGTGAGGTAATCTGAAAAAATTACATTTGTAATCAATTTAATTACAGTTTACACGTTACATAAAAAAAAAAAAAAAGACATCGACGATGCCCGACATAAAAATACTCTTTTGCGATTAACCAGATTTTTGCAACTCAATAAAAAATATGTGTTCAATCTTAGCACATAATTTGTGACACATATTGTGAGTTGTATACCGTTGTCATGGTCAATTGTAGGTGTTTCATCTTCTTCTTTGGTAGTTTAGTACAGCTGATTTAGGATCCCCACCCATTTTTAGGTGTATCATAGACCCAATTGCAATAATACTACTTTAATATAATGCGATTATTAATATAACATGCCAGATAGTCTACCTACACTTGTCACGCCTACATCGTTGCTTGCGTCAAGTTGACGTACAAGTCACATATATAAACATACACAAACACGTAAAATAAAAGTGCGTTCGGCAAAAACGGCAGCAGTACTGGTGTCACCACATCAAAGAATTATTTTGTTCAATGACCATAATGATTGCTAAGGTTTCACTTAAGGTGACCTCGAAAAATATAAAGTTGATCAACTAATAAATCGCATTTACTGGTTGTAGAAACATAAAATGTACAACAAAAATTATTTCAGATTCAAGCATATCGAAATCCATTTTTAATCATTTATTTTGTGTAAATAAATGACTAAAATTGTCAATGATTTGATAAATCAATCTTTATAATTCACATATTTCTAATAGTCATGTAGTATTTGTTCAATAATTGTTTGGCAAACTTAAAAACAATATTAGAACTTGTATGTGATTAACCAAGTTGAAGTGATCCTAGAAAGATATTTTACATTAGATTAATAACTTCTTGAATACCACTTAAATAAATTAAATAATAGATTGTATTTTTATTCTCAATATACATATGACCAGAATTTGGAAAACTTTTATTTCTTCTTGATGTGGTCTAAAATCGTATCTTGTAAAATCAAAAAATTAAAAAGTATTATTACCACAAATTACAATATTAAGTGAATGATTAATTTTCAAAGAAAAAAATAATGTAAATTTTAATAATTACATAAAAATGAAAGCTAAAAATAATTTGTTTGAAAAATAAATTTTAAATGATGTTAAATAAAATTTCTAATTTTAATTTGCTCTCCTAAAAAATAAAAATGACAATAACACTATTTGGCTTGTAACTCTCGAATTAGTACCTTTTGTGTACAATGAGTGTGAGTGAGCTCCCATTTCAATATTGTTTTAATAAAAAATCGCTTTCATGAAAAAGTTATGAGCAAAAAAAAATTAGACCCTAGCTACTCCCCCTTATTCCGACCGTTTTTATAAAAAATTGTTTTGAATTTTATTTTGTTAACGATTAAACTATGAACATTTTGCGTCAAGTTGTAAAATTACTAGAAGATAGAAGATGAGAACTAAATTAATATTTTCCATTTATCTAAAGTTATTTAGACACCTTTAAACGCGTTGCATATGTGACCAATATTTTTATAGTTCGAGATGAATATAAGAATCGTTCTTATAAATTATAATAAATGCACTTTAAACGTTAATTCTTTTTCGATGTGATAGTACTTACTTTGTACTTGCGTATAAATGGCAATCAATGATTTGTATCGTTAACGCATGACTAAAAATAACAATACAAGAGTACAATAATTATTAGTATTGAGCAAATATACTGAAATGTGAATATTTACTTTATTCTGTTTCAAATATCTTTTAACAAACTATGAATTCTATATAAAATGTATTATTTTTGAGCCCAGTTTTGTTTTATTTACTAATGACTATCTAAAATAATTTACACGATAGAGACATTTGATTCAGAAAAATACATGTATTTATTTAATCTATCCTAATGTGATAACATGTTATTGATTCTTTAAGATCTAAAATGAAATCTATTATCTTTTATTTACGTTGGTGTAAAAAAAAAATAATAACTAGATAACTTTATTAGATAACGTAGTTGCATAAGTTGTTGATCATAATTTCCGTGTTGCTATAACAGTTATTAGAATCAGCTGTGCCTATTAAATCCTACGCCAAATCATAGTAAAATTGCAGATTTACTCAGGGACAAGTTGCATGCATTTAAAGAGTAATACTTATAATAATAAAATGCACACAAGATGACATTCGTATAAAAAAATTCGAGCCCATAACAATCATCAGTTTTAGTCCTCCGTCGAAAAAAGATTTCTGTGTTATTACATTACACGCAGATGTCACAGGTAGAACATTCAACTATTTAATAAACTTCAAGGATAAAGTGAATAGTATTGTTACTATACTACTAATCATATGTTAAAGGATAGGCATATGTAGTAATAAATGAGAAGATAATGGAATCAAAATCGCGTTAAATGGCAACATGATAATGACATGTAATTTAGTAACATTAAAATTTGTCTTTTTTTATAAATAAAAAAGTGTGTATTATTTAAAAGTCATCCCCAAATTTAGAAGACCTTGAATGGATCTTTTGAAACCTATTTGGGCATGACTTTAAGTAGAACAAAACATACACACACACACTTACTGACAAATTTTCGTCTTGCTAGTTTCCATGTCCACAGTTTACCAAAGAAATCACTCCACAAACTATTTTTCTTAAGCCATTTGCCTTCAGAAAATAATATGTCAGTTTCTTGAACTGCGAATGAAAAAAGTAAAAAAAAAATTATTATTAATTGATAATATTATTTGAAATATTCGATTGGTGATTAGATTTCAATGAGAGTTAGAAATTACGATTTTCCAACATTTTGATAATCATTGCTTTTTTTGTGAATAATTAGAATTTTTTGCGTCCCAACTAAAACGCTAAGAAATTTTTATTTTTAGACAAAATTGTAGAAATGTCTAAATTTTCTTTTAACCACAAAATATTTTTGTTACTTTAGTCTAAAAATATTTTTATTTACTCATTAACTTAGTGAAAATCATTTTCGTTTATATACAACTGCTTCTAATATTATTGCTAGTTGACCGTGTCATACATTATCAATTTTAAACAGAATTAAATGAAATAAGTAATTTGAAATTACTATAATAATCCACAACTGTCAACAATGATGACGTTTAAGTTTTATAATATTTTATATTCGGTGCAATCGAATAGCCGATCAGGATTGACATATAATTGATCACTGAAATGATTAATTATTTTCGGTAGCGCCAGTCGCCGTTCACATAATTTGGACAAGTGCAATAAACTCTACTAACAGTATTATTATAGTGTTACTTTATTAATTATCGAAACTGCATCCTCTCTCATGTTTCCTGTTACGGGTAAAAAAAACCTATGACATTGAGTATATTATATTAGTAAAAGTATATCGAAGAAGTGCGTAAGTATATGCGTTTTTAATGGCGAATAGGCGTAGGAGAAGCATTTTCATCTCTTTCTTCGTCCTCAAACTAAGATTGACCTTGACTGATACGGCGCTTCGTACAATGTACAAGATGAACCCTTATAAATATACAATGTTCAGCGCTCTCCGAGTATTAATTACTATTGTGAATAGAAGAAACTTTAAGCGGTTTTTTAGGGGAAAGAGGCGTGGGGAGAGTGGGCGCCGTCGTCGCAAATTTCGTGTGGGCCAAGACGGCGATCCTCAGGCTCTGATACCCGGGTTACCCTACATGGACAACACTGCCAATGACGCAATATATTTCTTCCTACCTCAACTCACTTATTTTCCCCTACCGGATACCAAAGAATGTTGCCATTTTAAATTCAATAAAAGTGATTTAGAAGTTTGAAGTTACTACAATTTCCATATCTTTAATCGATCCACTGAAAATATATCACTGAATGATAAATTTTATGAAGCACTTAAGATTAATTGTTATCAATACTATATATGCATAATCAATTATTTATAGTATTACGTTGTGTTCTGTATTTTATTTTATTTTTTATTTTTTATAGATTTGGTTTTAAGTCCTGAAGTTATGCTAGACATGAGTCGATCGGACTCACAGAGATCCGATTCGTCTTTAAAACCTCGAGTGTCATTCAACCGAGATGTCCGCATCAAAAAAATTGGTACGTTAATCACGCACACTCGAACAAATTAATTAAGAAGTAAAAATAACGAGAGATAAAAAATTAATGTTCCCAAGGCAAATACGATTTTAATTGTCACGCCCACCAATAGTGACTAAACGTGCAAAAAATATATATTCATTATTTCTACATAAATATTTCAAAGACATGGCCCAAGTGACGTAAAGCCATTAAAGTACACTTTATGATTGTAATTCAGATATAATTTTTATATTTTGGTGGGCAATGATTGATAGTCACTTAATTTCATGAAGAGATACAATGATAGAATTCTGGATTGAAATATATATTTTTTGTGAATCGAAATATCCAATATCGGATACATATATGAAACTACGTAGAAATAAATTCAATTAATTCTAATATATTTGAATTACTTGAACAAAAAACATTATTGTTTAATTAAATTTTTACTATTTTAAAAGGTAATTCAATAAAAATAATTGCAGTAATTATATAATTTGATTTATTAAAATGATAGTTCATGGTACTACATACTGAATTTCTCAAAGATATAAATTTCGGATGTCAATTCATCTCACAACTCGACAGAATTATGGTCACGTTTTTATTTTTAATCTATCAATGTTTTAATTCTTTTACAAAATACATATATTTTTTTATTTGAACGAATATTATAGCACAGATTAATTGTAATAATAGTATTTTTTTTTTTTCTAAAATAATCATGATTTTTTTTTAGTATTCTTTTAATCTGCTAGTAATTATTATATTAGTAGTATTAAAGCCTCACTAGATTTAATCTACGAAGCGTTTCAAATGTGAAGTTATGTGGTAGATTTTAATAAAAATAAAATTATATGTACAGTTAAACTTGACAAAAAAAAAAAAAATGAAATATCTTAACATTTTAAACTTCCAAAGCACTCCATAAAATGGTACTTGTTTTAGTAAGACGTTGAAAATAATTAATTTTAAAAACAAAGAAATAGAACGTAGTATAAGGTAACACTACTAGAGAACAAATACAACTGTGTTTTTAAATAAAACATTATCTAATATAATTGTAACAAGTTGTAATTATCAGTTCTTACAATAAAGTAAGTCCTACTGTATTAAAACAATTATTGATACAATATCATTTAGTGTTCATTCACGGGAAAATTCAAATTTTCAACATAAAATATTTCGTTTTATTCTTATAAGAAAAATATTCTAATTAGCAAACTTTTAGAGGAAAAATGCATTCCACGCATAAGTCTGATTATATTGACTAAGAAGGACGGGAAATAGGTGTGTTAATCATTGCCAGTGATACATGTCAATCAATTTATTATTATAATCAATTATTTATGATTTTATAATAAAAATTGATCACTTGTGGCTAATTAATTAAGTAAAATTAAAACTATATTAAAAATATTATTAATTTAAAAAAAACTAAAAAATATTAAAAATATTAAACTCAAAAGCCACAAAAAAATTAATGAAAAGTCGCGGATACGTATTTCGGAAACAATGTTACCATTATCAACGCTAAACACATACTGAGTTTAATATTTTTAATATTTTTTAGTTTTTTTTAAATTAATAATATTTTTAATATAGTTTTAATTTTACTTATTTATGATTTGTTTCGTGTAACATAGTCATATGATTTTGTTCACAAATTCTTAATGATATTTTAGGGAATTCAGATGCGGCGAGCATCGTAGAAGCACTGGCAGGTGATGGAGAAGGACATCTTGTACCTACACCAGTTCGACGGGAGAAGATCAAAGCGTCTAAGCGAGAACTAGCCCTTGAAGCTGATAAAGTACTAGAGCAAGCAAATAGCGTAGCCTCTCTGCATTCGGCAGCACCGCCGAGAGGACAGCAGAGGAACAAACACGGAGGATCATCGCTTCAGAGAAAAAACAGTTTTGGAGGAACCGATTCTAAGAAATGGAACTCCGAAGGTACGAGTTTTTTAAACTCATTGAGAATTTTTTTTTTTCCATTAGATACATAATTTTTTTAATTTAATAATTCTTCTTCTTCTTCTTCTTCGTCTTAATCCCAACTACTTGGGGTCGGCCACCCTTATACTAAACTTCCACTTGACACAATCTCCCACAGCCTCTACGCTCACATCAGCTGTCCTCATATCGCATTCAATCACATCTCTTCTTTGGTCTTCCTCTACCTCTTCATCCTTCAACATTTATTTCTACAACTATTCTTACGGCTTCCGATTCTTCTCTCCTCATAACATGACCAATCCATCTAAGTCTATTTTTTCTCATCTTATCCACGATTGACGCTACACCTATACTCCCTCTTATATACTCATTTCTTTTCCTATCTTCTCTAGTCATTTCACTCATCCATCTAAGCATTCTCATCTCTGCTACACTCATTCTTTGCTCTACTTTCTTATCAACCGCCCAACACTCTGAACCATACATCATAGCTGGTCTCACTACAGTCTTGTACAATTTACCTTTCACCTTTTAATTTAATAATTATAAAGTATTTTTTCATTCCATCCTTCGCACTTTAGAAACTTTAATCAAACTCAAGTCAACTTTATTTTTTCAAATAGCAACATACATAATTAACTAGCTTATTTATTAATTAATAATATCAATTAAGAAAGTTATTGATCCGATAATAACTTGTGAACCAGTATTTCGGAAGTCATTGATATTTTTATATCTAAAAAAAATGATTGAAAATTGCAATTGAGAAGTTACTAGTGATAAAAATAACAACACCCGCGCATACATTTAGCCTTCATTATTACTTGTTTATAGTTTCCAAAGTACTAGTCCAATAATTGTTATCGACCAGTATTTTCTTAATTAAATATATTGTCATTAAAAAAAATAAAATTGACGTCCTTATAAAGTATAAGAGATAAATATAAAACATATTTTAATATTGATAAATTAAGAAAACATGAATCTAAAAGGAACCAAAAAATTCTAATTATTATTTTTATTTCATAGAAAAAACTGTTTGTTCATTAAATTTTGATAACTATATTTTCTTCCAAATAAAGTTTAACAAATGATAAAAATATTCCGATTTATCCAAATCATTGGTGTTCTCAGGGTACTTTGGAAAGAACATATACATAAGAAATATTTTTACTACCCTCTACAAAATACATTTTTCATCATAAATTTATTTTTATCGTGTGGAGAGGTTCTATCTCCATATCCTTCCACGATAACGCTCATGATCCTGTTACAATAATAAGATTTTATTAAGCTTTTCTGTTTTATAGCACTAGTAGTATGATATTTATTAAAACAGCCTCTAAAATATTCCATTAAATATTAATAAAATTCTATTTATTTTATTTAAGTAAAACAAATATACAGTGAAATTAGACAGTATTAGTTTAGTAAAATTTTAGTTGTATTGTATAATAAATTAAATTAATATTATGCTAATTTTTAAAATTTTCTAAAAACTGAGTTTTTAAACAGGAGAAATTATTTATTTAATTTAATTTTTTAACAGGAAAATTATCGTCTTATAGATCTTTGGACAGACCAAATAATAGACCAAACAAACAGAATAACAAACAAGAAGAAAATGATGAGTTGTTATCGCCAAACGATACAATGAGGCAAAGGAAATCAACTAGTACCAGATTGAAAAGAAGTGTAAGCGATGCAGGAGATCTGAAAAAAACATCCACAAATAAAGATCAGGATAAAAATTCGATATCTTTGTTTGGTACTATTGAACGCATTAAGAAAAAGATTAATAACAACAATACTAAAAATAGCGGAAACACGACGGACAGAACAATGAGGATGACCGAACCACCACCTCCACCACCACCCGTTCGCGCAAAAAAACAGCTATCACCCATCATAGAATCATCGCCTAGAGAAGAATACTTCAAGTACTCCAACGACCCATTCAACGATACTCCACCACCGTCTCGTCCTGTCCGCCGGGGCCATAACGTTGATAGAATCGTCCGACGATTGCTCGGGGAACCTCCACGGCCGCCGCCGACGCTAAATCGACCAGAGCCCGTCGCTTCCTACGTACAGCACAACGGCAACGAGCCGTTTTCGTACACGGCCACTTCGCCCACAGTTATTAATATTCCGGATACAACCCGGGACGATGGTCATCAGTATCGCACAACAAACGACATGGACGACACGTGGATGTCGTATGAAGATCTAAGTCATCGAAGGGACGCACTTGAATCTCGATTACAAAAGCGAGCGGCTTCGTCGTCCACTATTCGGCCATCCGTCGTGCCTGCTACGCCGGACACATATGCTACAGTGTACAAAAAAAATGAGACGCTGGGTGGCGGTGACAGGTATTTCGAGCGAAAGATAGTTACGGAACATCGATTTGCGCGACGTACGCCAAGATTGGACGACGATGTCGTAGACAGACCTACTCGAGTAATTAGCAGCGGTAGACCAACAGTGGTATCGCGGAATAACGTTCCTGTTATCAATGGACCATCTTCTTTGAGTGTCAATAACAGTGGCGGTAACTACCAAACCGGAAAACCTGCTAAAAAACGGTCTAAATTAGATAAGTTCAAGATGCTTTTCACCAGATCGTCAAAAGAAAATAAACGTCCATCGTCTTCTAAAGTCTCCAATTCCGATCCTGAATCATACACATCGTCGTCCCTTCGCAAAAGATACAACGTCTACACGGGAGACGATGTGAGTAGTATTAAAACTGTTGATACCATGAAAAAAAGTTTTGTGGGGTGAATGTAGCTTTTAAAAATACTTCGTAAATGTGATGGCTCTTAGCATAACTCATTAAAAAAGATAAAAAGATGACTTATAACAGTAATCAAAGGAGTATACTTAACTTTCTATTTCTTGATTTTCCATTTTTTTTTCTGGTATAGTTTGTATTTTAAAACAAAAAGACTTTGAAAAATATATTGATTCAGTATCACACATATTCCGAGTGCGGGTTAACATTTTTTTCATCTTTTTATATATTTATTTCTTGGGTGGTGAAGTTCAAGGAGAGGGGGTCTTTTAAGTATTTTAATCCAAATCTAATACTGATTTAATATTATATTTAAGTTTTCATTAAAAATTTGGAATCTACTTGTTGCTCTATAAACTTTCTTTTTCTATTAAACAACACTAAAATTATTATCTCATTTTCCTATAGAAATAAGAGAGATCATACATAACATATGTGTACATTACTCTGTTAATTAATTCTCAATAAATTAAAACTAAAAATGTTTAGTTATAGAGCATAATGATATCAAAATCTTTCTGATTTCATCAATTTTATTTTCTTTGTCAAATCTTCTAGGTGATTCACAGCAAATATAATTTATATTTTTATACGTCTGTAATCTAATTTTTTTTAGATTATAATATAATGAATATATATTTAGAATAACAAAGAATATTATTAAGTAATTAGCTAAATTGTATATATTTTTAGTTAACTTTCAAATTTTGATCAATAAAATTAGATTACAGACTCCTAATTTAACTATAATTGAATTTTTATTTGATGAATATACATATTTAAAAATTAACATAATTACTGTTTTCATATAATTTATAAAATTAATATATCACAATGTTCCTATAAAGTCAATTACAATCAAAATAATTTATTTTATTGCATAAATAAATTATTATAATTACCATGTATAGTTACCGTATAATATCCTCCGTTCGACCTGACATAAAATTAGGGCAAGATACACGTTGTGTATCTTGCCTTAATTTTATATATTTTGGTCTCAAATGAGTGTGACATACTCATTTAAATTTACAATAGTTCAAGGCAAAATCATTAAGCAATATTTCAATGAATGAGAAAAGCGTTATGTTATCCCACGTATATTAATTACTAACAATGGTACATCAAAATGCCTTGAAAATTAAACATTATACAACAATATATTTAATTGATTTCTAAAAGTTTTTCTTAAGCTTCACAGAAAATTATACGATTTTAAGGGATTCTCAGTAAGAACAGCTAAAATATTTAACCTGTTTAGTGATTATAAAAATGATCTATTATGAGGAATGGTAATTTCATTTTCACACATAGGCCGATGTTATGCAATTTTTATGCATTGCATTGGTATTATTCGCATGTGGTGTACCTTTATTTGGACCGTTAACGGCAATGGTCAAAACACCCAAAAACTGGTTTGTCACTGCTTTAACCGCGACTGCCTTTCTCCTTTCTCATCAGTTAGTCGACATATCTAACAATGTTAAATTGTACTAAACAAATCCAGTTTAAACTTAAGACGTGTATTTGCGACTTAAAATTTAACATTTTCAAATAAAATTAAATCCGTTAAAACTTATTGATAGCTCTTTGATTCTCAATTATTAATAAAAAATGAGCAATTACATCTTGTTATTGTATTTGCTATTAACATAAAACATGTGAACGTTATACGTGATTTAACCTGGATGTCCATATAAGCACAAGTGACGGCTATCCGGTGCTCCACCTGTAATCGTTGTCTATCTTCGTCCATCCTTGACGATGGCCTCAAATAAAATTGAAATGAAAATAATAATAGATTTTTGTAATACTTTATGCTATGCTTGCATTATCACTTAAATATATTACTTATGTATAATGTGGAAACCGTTATATCAGTTATATTTAAAAGAATGTACATGGATTAAAAATCGTGATTCAATTGAATAATTAAAAAAACATGATAAATTTGATATCATCTCAATTCAGTAAGAAATCATAAAAGTTCACATCATCTAAAAATCTGACTAGCCATTAAAAAAAATTGCTTAAATAAACTGCATATTCAATATGCAGTTGATTCATTTATTTATTACCTTCTCCAAATAATTACATTTTCTTTAAACATTTTGGAAATAATAATTAACTTTAGAGTAAAAGAAAATTGTGTGCTGATGATTTATTCGGGAGAATAAGTCCTCCAGATCCTTCGATATATGCCAATGGCATATATGTAATGGCAATTGTAAAAATGCTCGCAAACTTAACTCTCAGTTGCCAATTAATATTATTGTTCAGCAGATGCGAACTTCTGGTCGACTAAAAGGCATTCAATTCTTCAACTATTTGCATAAATATTAAATACCTAATAAATGACGAATATTATATATTTGTTTTTATGCTAATTATATTTACAATTTTTATCATGAAGTATAGGTACATAAAAAAAAAAAAAATCCTCGTTTATACTTATAAAATTAAAAATACCTTTTTGCTGTATAATTTTAACATTTAAGAGCAGGGCTTTATATCACCATTCATTGTAATTATGTATATGTCTATTTTTAGGGGCATTATTCGACAAAGCAAAAAAGACTGCCTTCGCCTAGTAAACACTCAGGAAAATTTGGAAACAATTCGTGGTTTAAATCTTTAGATAGATTCGATAAAAAGACCAAGGTATAGTAATTTATATTGCGATTTAAAAATTATGAAGTACAAAGTTCTTGAAAATTAATAATGGTTGAGTTCTATGCAATGTACTATTCGAGATATTTTTCAAATATTAACAATACACAAATAGTATAATTAAAAAATGGATTTTTTATTAAGATAAAGTAAATTTTATTAATTAATATACACGTATATGGTGAGAGCCTTTCAATGTAAAAATTAAAAGCTAACATTATAGAGGTCCATAATTTAAAATCCAAGAGAATGGTATACTAATTTTATTAATTAATTGAAGATAAACCATTACTGTTGAAGATAAAAAAAATTAAATCGTGAATATAATTCTATAAAATTCAATCATGACTTAGCTTAATACAAATATCAATGTCTGACAAATCGTATAGCTTTTGTTATACAAAATATTTTTTGATAATTTACATATACAGGGTGATTTTTTTATCATAACCCACTCAATTACTTACAGAATAATAATAATTAAAAAAAATTTTTTTATTATTATCTTTAGTTACACATTATTCTTGAATTATTAACTATATAATACTTTTTTAGTTCATCCCTTATGCCTGGTAAGAGTGTCAACTTTGTTTTTTTTAATGGTAACACATATTTTGAATTTAATAAAATGTTTGAGTTTTTAATTCAATAGTAAATGGCATTTGAATTTTTAATGAAACCTAATTTGTTTATTAGATATAAACATTTAAAGTTTCAAAATTTTGAGTTAATATATAGGTATAATACACAAGGGATTACAAATACAGGTAGCTAATTGGCTTTTTATGACATCGATATTATCAGGTACACAGCATTGTTATTATCAATGATAGCAAGGTACATTGTTGTGAGTTTATAAATACACTAACTGACAATAAAAAAAGTATATCTATTGATAGTCATAATTGATAATAAACAATCCGTGACTGTGATAGCAATATCATAAAAAACCAATTAGCTACCTGTATTTGTAATCCCTTGTGTATTATACCTGTATATTAATTCAAAAATTTGAAACTTTAAATGATTATATCTAATAAACGAATTAAGTTATATTAAAAATTCAAATGCCATTTATTATTAAATTAAAAACTCAAACATTTTATTAAATTAAAAATATTTGTTCCCATTTAAAAAAACAAAGTTGACACCCTTACCAGGCATAAGGGATGAACTTAAAGAGTACTACATAGTTAATAATTCAAGAATAATGTGTAACTAAAGATAATAATAAAAAAAAAAATTATAAATTATTATTATTCTGTAAGTAATTGAGTGGGTTATGATAAAAAAATCACTCTGTATACTGTAAATTATTATAGTCTTATACTAAAAGTTAAAAAAAAATGTAAAAATAATAATATTTAATACATAAAAAGTTCTAGGATTTATCGAAATATGGTGGAAACTTCTATAGAATAGTTATAATTTTTTTATAGAAGTTTTATAATTTCAATAAAAATTACTTTTGGCATTAGTTTTAAAAGCATTAAAGAAGCCATTCCTTCATTATCACTTTTAATAAACTTATATGACCATTAGTAGATTATAATTCCAGAGTATCATATTAACTTTAATTTTTTTTTATAAATAAAATTAATTTTAGAGACCAAAAACATTTACTTCTGGAAGTGAAAATGACGAAGAAATCAGAGTGCACAGGATAAATGATCGAAATAAAGGATGGGTGCCTCCAAGGTCTTACCACAGTGTGGGAAATCTAAATTCAATGGATATAGATCACTCACCAACAAGACACATGACCGAAAAAAGACATTCATTAATAGACAGCTCCGCTGATAGCACTACCGAAGGAGATAGTAGTCAAAAATCACACAAGTCAACTGTTTATCTTCACGCTACGACAGGTAAGAAATAACTATATAAGATTATTTTAAAAAAATAATATACAATTTTAGCTTCGATGCGATTTTTTTTTTACATTAATAGTTGGTGAAATTCCCGAATCAAGACAACTGCATCAATCTGTATTCGGGTCTAAAAGCAAGAAGGCGGCTAGTCGAGAAGAGCTCTCTACACAGAACGACGCTTTCGTAGGAACCCAAAAAAGAACTTTGTCTCGTTCAGTTTCAGTACTAGCCCCGTGGGCACCTAGACACCACGACGAAAGGGAGATCGAATACGACGAAAATGGAAGACCACCAAGAGCACCTAAAAAGTGGCCTATTAAAGCTACTAAAAGCGATCCAGAAGAAGTGATTAGACCACCCATACGTCAAAATAGATCGTCAAAGAGTTCTGGTGAGGATTCTTCTCTTATGGATGAAGTGATTATTCGAACTACAAGTCGTACTGGAGAGTTGGTCAAAGATGGTCGATCAGGCAGAACCCTTGGAAGATCTGTGTCTTCAGCGAATAAATATGCACCAAACATAATATACAGATCAAGAACGAAATCGTAATATAGGAAATTTTTACATTTCAAATTTTTGTTAAAATGATATAAGAAATTTAATTTACTAGTCGTCTCGCCTAAAATTTGTTGATAATAAAAATAACACTTCAGTGTGGCTAACAATATTAAGATAAGAGAATAATTTGTCAGAAAATGATGATCGAGTCAAACAATGCAAACTAAAAGTTGACATAGTAACTATTTTACTTTTTATGATTATTAAATTTGTAGTATGTCTGCCTTTTTCATACTTATCCTAGTCAAATGATAACGTTTCACAATAAATTAATACAGGCATTATGATATTTAAGTTACATTTACTATTTTTATTTATGTAAATAATATACAAAATGAACCACTACTAACTAACAAGTCTTATAACATATGATTCAATAATCATTTTATTGACATTTAAAAAAAAATAATTATTATTATTTCTTTTATAGACTACATTTAAGCATAGTATAATTATTTGTCACTAATAAAAAAATACATTTTTTATTTTTTTTTAATTTTTAAAATACCATAAAAAAAAAAATTGACGGGTAAAGAATAATCTTAGGACAGCTACTCATTGAGTTATAAGTATTACAATACATAGAATGAGTTTTCATTGAGGATGAATGCAGTTCGTATTGGTCTATACATATAATGTATACCCCACATGCACTACAAACCCTCTATGTATTAATATGAATTCTTTTAACTCAATGTATACTTGTCCTAAAATGTTATCAATCCATCAAAATTATTTAAAAAAAAAAATTAGGTAAAATGATTATTTTGAAATTTTGAACAAATGTTATAAATTAAGTTTTCCTTATTAGTGATAAATAATAAAAAATATGCTTTACACGTAGTCTAAGAAGACAATAGTAAAAAATCCCATTAAACTGATTATTAGATCAAAAGTTATTAGATTTTTCAGTTAGATCAAGTTCACACTTTATTTTCAATAATCTATTGTAAATAATAAAAATCAATAGTATAATCTCCTCTCAACATATTTTTGGAAACTCTATAACTACATAACGAATATTAATTATTACATAACATACTTATAATAATTAGTACATATCATACGAACACAATTTAATTCCTTCAGGTTATAAAATATCTGATTAAAAGATTTTATAAGCTACAAGTTTTCTTTTTTTTTTTTGGAATTTGTCACAACCTCATAATTCCTTTCTAATGTATTGACTAAAGCGACACCACGATGACCACGTAGCGCAAGGGCACCATCGCTATCTTTCTCTATCAGAATCCATAGAATCTATAACACTTTGCTTTTGTAATAGGGCATTTTTCAGAGCATTTATTTCATTTTCATATATTTTTTTCATCCTTTCCATTTCAGCAGATTGTTCATAAAGACGACCACTCAAACGGTTGACTTCTTGATGAGCTCCTTGTTCAACACTCTAAGAAAGTAAAAACAGAATTAAATAATTAAGCATCTATAATTTAATAAATAAATACAAATTTATCATAGTAATTTATAAAAAATAATCATAATAATTGAGTTTTAAAAACAGTTTTCTCAATGAGGAAAATGTAAGGAATAAAGTAAAATAAACCAAAAGTTTGTAAAACTTATTAGCTTAATAAGCATACATTTTTATCACTTAAATAGTGGTTTTATAATGGGATTACATTTTTTTTAGGATAAAAATGTATTTTTTAAAGATTCTTTATTTCTTAGTTAGAGTAAATTATATTATCTTAAAGGTGACTTAAAATTATTATACTTAGAAATAGTTCAGTTTTTATTATAAAAATTAAGTGTATTTATCTGTTGTCTATTATAAAATATATAAAGTTGGTTAAAATTTTTAAATACGTGTAGAATAAATCTAACTAATAACTCTAACAACTTTTGACATACTTAACACTTCACACTTTTTTTTAAATCTAGTTTAACATACTTGGACTATTTTTGAAACTTATTATTAGTGTTGTCCATATAGATTCCATGTGGTATAAACAAACTTATGAAAACTAACTATAATTTGTACAGATCAACACTAAAAATCCTTGTTACCATCCAGAATATCTATTATATCTCACCATGTTTTTTGATAGATTTTTTTCTCTAATAACTCAATAACAATTGTTAGAAGTATAAAAATATAATCTATATATATACGAATATACATATGCTCATGTCTTTACATGACAAATTAAAAATTATATTTTAACATTATAAATTACCTTTAAATGTTCAGTTAGTGCTTTCACTCTAGCACTAATTGAAGCACTCAACATGGCCGCAGATACACTATTGCGACTGTCACCAGCTGCATGTTGTAGTAAAGCTTCTTGATCATTGATTGTCTCGCGTAAAAATACCATTGCATCACCAAGCTGTTTTTTATTAGTATTTTTTTCAGATTCACACTCCAGTAATTGTTTTTCTAATATTTCACATTTTGATTTCAATTGACTAGTAGAGAAAACAATATATTATTTAGTTAAAGAAATATAGAATATTTTAATAAAAAAACTTACGAACAATGAAGATCTAAAGCTTTATTAATAGATCGCTGTTGATTTAATTCTGTGGTTAGAGAAACAATTTTAATATCAAGAGCTGGACGTTCTTCTTCAAATATTATCAATCGACGCATCAGGGTGTCACGTTCATCATCATAACGAACTTTTAATTCTTCAAACAATCTAGAATAATGTATATTTACGTTTTAATTTAATGAAATATTTTATTTTTACATTTTAAAATAACATGGATAATTTATCACCAACTACCCTAGTAGAAACAGTAAATAAGGGAGTATACATGCTTCGAGCATCCTATTTTATATTTCACCAAAACTTTTCCGGAAATTAAAAATCAATTACAAATTTTTATATTTTCATAGTATCTTTAAATTTTCTATTGATGACCTCAATTACAAACAGGAAAAACTTTGGTTTTTGAATCATCATGAAGTGCGTGAATCTTTGTACTCCCTCTTTTTGATACCCATGAGCCTCTTTTAATGCAAATTTCCCTGGACCCAATAAAATTTAGCGTCGATCGAATCCTATTAAATTCTTACTACTAAATGTATACTGATACATTTTAAACAAAACTCCAAGGGTAGTCTAAAATAATTATACCATAATTTTTGAGTAATATGTAAAATTATAGAGTAATTACAATGGCAAAAAAATTACGAGATACTAAATAAATGTAATGAATTGAATAAAAATTTTTATGTCAGAGCCATTTTACTATTTCTAATGATGTGAAATCTATTTTTTTCAAGTCTTTTATCGGTCATCTACTAAAATTTATCAAACACTAAAACGTTAAGAAGTAATATAAAAAAAACACTTATCAAAACAATGGTGTGTAGTTTTGTATGGAGTAGTCATGGAAAATTTTAAAATCTGTCAGGAAAAATTAGAAGCTTTCGAAACTTGGTGTTAGAGAAAGGCATTAAAAATCGCTTGGATCGAATGAATGTTAAATGAAGTTGTGTCCCGGAAAATACACGAAAAGAGGTTGATATCTCTTTAAAAATGTAAAGGAGGGAAACATGAGTAATATCTATAATTGAAGGAAAAGTCGAAGAGAAACCAGAAAGAGAAAGGCCAAGACAGTTTTATATGTAGTAGATTATGTTACATTTAGGATTTCATCAAGAATTAAAAGAACTTACTATGGATAGAGAGGAGTAGAGGAACATTTCATTAATAAACCAATCTACGGATTGAAAATGTACTATTTTATTAAAGAATCACCTTCTATATTTTTTGTAATTAGTGTCTATGGGCCTACTATTAGCCAATCAGACTCTACATCTTAGATCTAATTTTATGTCTGAAAAAATATTGGGCTTCTAATTTATATTGCTTTTTCCCCTCCACATAAAATAAATTTTATTAGTTGGGCCTAGAACCTTCAAAGTTTCTATATAAACCATGTTCACAAGATACCACACCATAATTGCTTAAAAAAGTACCTGCGACATTCATTTACAGCTGATGTGTGAACAGATATTGGTATTTTATTATTATCTTCTGTTTTCATGCGGTTCAAATCTTCTGCCAAATTGGATACACGACTTTGTAATTGTAGAAGTTCCATGCGTGCATTTTCATATTTGTCAGTTAAATGATCTCTTTCGCTATTTAATTCGGTAACTAAAAAAACAGACGTTAGTAATAATTTTGTTTTCATAATAACCTCTTTCAACAATGAAAATATTTTTAATTAATAATTAAAAATTAAAAATCTAGAACTTGTTAATTAATTGAAAAAAGTTTTTAGACATAGTTTCTTTCTCTAGGGAAGCAGAAATCTATTGGTTTGGAAATTAGAATCAAATTATATGAATATCTCATTTCAAAAATAAATTAACATCATTTTAATTAAATAATTAAAGTAAACCCATTTCTACTATTTCAACAAATCGCTATTTAAAAAAAAAACCAGCATGTCCCGGCACAGTGTGTATAATTGGGTTCAAATCATTATCATAAAAAAACGTCTTGGTGCAAATCTGTAGTTAGTGTTTAATTTAAAAATATTAATGGATTATTACAAAAGCTACATGATCTCCTATTTCCTTATTTATATCTTAATTACAAGTTATATGCATTACTAGTGCGAAGTATGTAATCGATGGAGGATTTCTCCTCTATAAAGTTATTTGACAAATGTATCAAACAAAATTTTTTTTCTATTTTCTCATTCATTTTCCTATTCTAAATTTTGATAGAATATATCTTCAACAAAAGTATAATCTTCTTAATCTTCAATCTTTATTTCTATTGAATTTGTACGTCATTGACCTTTGCAATGTTCACATATAATAGAACATTTAAGTCCTGTTTTTCGGCAGCCACAATTTTACCAGCTCCAGCACCTGACCAAAGGCCAATACGCTTTATGACAATTATCTTTATCATTACCAGAAATTCCGGTGGCAATTAACATAATATAATTGTTGTTTGGGCATTTCAAACCATGTACAATTTAGCGTTTGTTTGGGTTTAAACAATATATCGTCAAATCAATTACCTACACTATCGGTTATATCTTAATATACACTACACTTTAATGATACTATAAATAAATAAACTCACACATACACATGTATGAATTTATAACATTGTAACTGATGTAAGTATAATATGATAAAAAAGAACCGTAAAATGAAAAAAATGGAAAATAAATTTTAGTATTTATATCAAATGTAATGTAACTCTAAACATATTTGTTTACATAAAAAAATTTTTTTTGTTTAAAATTGCCTTTTAAACAACTTTTATACGAAACTTTATATTGTAAGTTAAATATTTGTCGAGAAAATTAAAAAAGCTCATATTTTAGGACTTTTTCAAGGCTGTAAAAAAACCCAATTCCAATTAATGAGGACTTTTAATATGTCATTATACATATCTTAATTCAACTTTTTAAAAAAAAAAAGTTGGTTGGGAATTTTTTCCGCCATTCGCCAAAATTACTCTTTCGTTGACTGGCTTATAGAGCTTCTTAGTCTTATAAATAGAGTATTTTGGTTAATAAGATATGGTTTGATAAGATACCGTCCAAAATTAACAGAATTCTATACGACCATAACTAAACAAATTAATACTTTGTTTTAAAAATGCTTCTAGACAATTATATGAATTTATTACAAAAATAGTAATAAAATTGTTGAAATTCACTTATTTAATTCAAAATGATATGATATTCATAATATTTATTAGTTTTTGAAAATGTTATGAAAAATATTAGTTAAAAAATGTTTGTATTCACATTTATAATTTTAAAAAGTATAATAAAGAGGAAAATATTGATCAAAAAGGCTTCTTGATTTTTTACCAGTTTAAAAATATTTTCTCTCATTTTGAGTCAATTTTTTTTGTATCACTGGCATAACTGTCTGTTATTGGCCTAGCCAAGAACCATCTTTGATTCCCTGACATGTGAAAGAGGGCCACCACCATAATAAAACTGATCATTATTTATTTATCTCTGGCACAACTGTTACTAAATGTTATCATACGACTACGGATAAGATAAAAAAATAAGTCAGTGATGCGTTGTTGATAAACAATAATTTTTGTGATACTGATCTAAGGCAGGTTTTAGTTTGTTTATATTTTAGAGAATTACATGGCTTGAATGAAAAGAACACTATCTGATTTTATCTTATCTATGATAACACTAACTTAATATTTATTTAATATAAAACTGCGCTTTAAACTAAAGTTCTAATAAAAATTTAAAATGTTTAGTACTTGATTGAATAATTTGATTAAAATAGTAAAGTTTGGTTACTATAAAAAAATGTAATTATTTAAAATAAATAAGTATTTGACTTATTTTAATTGTTAACCATAGTTTTGATATTAAGTTTATTTTAAAGTTATTTTATAATAAGAACCGTAAGTCATCAAGTATATCTTAAACAACTTTTATTCTGATGTTATATTTTAAGAACTACTTCTTGTTATTTAAAATAAATTAAATATTTTTTAAATCAATTCAATTTGATTGTGTACTTCATATATAAATAAGATTAATTTAAAGAAAAGTGGACACTTTTTGAAGATCAGATAAATTGGTTTAATTCTACATGTTCTAATTTCAAAAATAATATTAAATAAGTATTTGTTAGTTTACAAAGTATAAATTTTGGAAAGAATAGTAGAAAGTATAATTGAATTGGTTATTTATGTTTTAATAGCATAACGTTTTCATAGCTTTGGTCAAATATATTAATATTAAAATATTTTTTTATAATTACGAAAGACTTATGAAGAAAAATAATATAAATAACTATACAATCATCTATTAATTTTATTAACATTACATCATTATAAAAAATTATGTATTTATAATTTTCAAAACTCAATAATTATCCAAATGTGAAATATTAATTATTATTGAATGCCTATATCATTAATTTTATTTTAAAATTTCATTTGTTAAAGAAAATTCAATAAAACTATAGTATTTACTAATTTAAGATGCTAATATTTTTTTTTGTATTAAATAATTATTATTTTAATTCAACAGATCACTCACTTATGTCATAAGATTGCCACTATGGGTATTCCTGGCCTGACTACATTTATCAATCGCAAATCAACACAATATTTTGATAACTATAAACTAGAAAACACTTCAGTTATAATTGATGGCTATGCTCTGACAAACTACATATATAAACTTCAAGAAAATCAAACCAGTGCGTTTGGAGGAGATTATGATTTAATTGTTCAAGCTTATAAAGATTTTATACATTTATTATTCAAATGTAATGTAACTCCAATATTCATATTTGATGGTGCTTATGAACAGCGTAAAATTGAAACTATAATGAAACGAATGAGTTCACGAATTCAAACTTATGGCCAGGCTATAAAAACGAGTGATTGTATACCATATTTTGCTAGTGATATCATATTTGATATTTTAAATGATATGAATGTGCCACATGTAAATTGTGACTTTGAAGCAGATGCCGAGATAGTTGCATTAGCTAAATTATTAAAATGTCCTGTAATTAGTAGAGATTCAGATTTCTATCTTAATACAGTACAATATATACCTTTGGATATGATTATTTTTGAATTTCAATCTCAAAATTCATTTATTAATTGTCGGTTATATACTGTTGAAAAATTATTGCAAGAATTCGGTGGATTAAGTTTAGATTATTTACCTTTAGTCACTGCATTAATGGGTAATGATTATATTAGGCCTGACACATTTGCTTTGCCTTTAAGACTAAGACCAAGAACTTTTAATTGTGGTTTAAAACTTAGTAGAATTTCTGATTGGCTAAAAAAACAAAAAAGTATGAACAGTGCAATATACAATATGACCCATCATTTGACTCATAATAAGGATTACATTATAAAACAAATAGAAAATATTATACAAGAGTACAAAAACACAAAAAGTAAATATCTACAGTTTCTTTTAGAATATAATTGTTTAAGTAAATATAAAAAATTATTAGAAAATGTTGTGAAAACGGAAGAAAAATGTGTACTTCCTCAATGGCTTGAAAAAAACTACCGTAACGGTATAATCAATGCAAATGTAATGACATTATTAACAATGAGAAAAATGTTTTTTAAAATACAAATTGATGATTATGAAAAATCACCATACTATTTTGTTAGTTTGAAAATTGTAGAAAATATACTAGGATTGTTATTTGGTAAAAGTGATTCTATTATTGGTATAGGAAGAAAAAATGGATTTAATCAAGGTACTTATAAACTAAATCCTATTGTACCAATTCCTTATGTACCATTAAAAGATTTAAATAACACTGACACAGCATATCGTAAAAATATTGTGTTTAATCTTATTGGAATACCTAAATTATTAGGAATTCCAAAAGATTGGGAAGTTTTTATCTTAGCAATAACATATTGGGCAGTACATACAGATAATAAGAAGTCACCTTACTTACATATAATAATTGTTTGTGCAATTATTTTGCATTTTAATGATACAACTAAAAATTATTCAAATTATCAACCATTTACAGTTACAAAACCAACAAATAAAATAGAAGAATGTATTTCAAATTTGAAAAAAGATGACCTGACACAAGCAAGTATTATATTATCTAAGAACAAAATTGTCAATGATTATAATGATAAGAAGTTTTATTATAAAACAATATATCCCTTTTCTCAGATCCAAAGTTGTGTATATTTTATGATGATTCTTAATTCAATATTAGATTTTCCCTTTGGAAAATGTAGAGTAGAAAAATATTTCAAAGGAACCGTTTTTTATAATTTATGTACCAAAATTGACAATTGTGATCCTAGAATGTTTGTACTTGAGAATATATTTAACAATTCAAAATCATTAGCATCATTATACATGTCTTTAATAGAAAATTTAGAAATGTTGTTTTCTACTTTGTTAGCAAAACAGAAGATAATTTCTAACAATGATACCCAGCATAAAAAAACTAACAAAAAAAGAAAAGCCTACTAATAATAGAAAAAAAATTAATATTAATTTAAATTGTAAATATTTCTATTTTCATATTTGTATATTTATATTAATAAACAAAATAATTCTTAACCTCAGAAAATTATAAAAAAATATTCTTGATCATACTTTAAAATATACCTAGATTTAAATTAGTTTCATTTATTTTTAGTAAATTTGTATAAAAACTATTTGAAATTATTTATACAAATTTAGTTTGTATATGTCTTAATAAATTTTTCAATATACTGTATAATATAAAATAATATATAAAATTACTTTTTATCACTTTATTATACCAGTAAAATTATAAAAGGAACATTAACATTTTATTTGAGAATTAAGATATTCACTAATTTATTTAATCTTTTATATATTATTTTAATAACAACTTTAAATTAGCATAATTAATATAATTACCTCTAGATTGATAAGATCTTAGTAAATCTTGTAATTTAGCTTGATGTAATTTTGCTTGTCTAATTAAAAGTTCATTATGTTCTTTTAGACTAGCCACTTCTAATTCTAATGATTTCCACTCAACATAAGTAACTTCAATCTATAATATTCATAACTATAATTAATTTTTTAAAACGTATGAAATTTCAAATGAATTTTAAAAACTATCTCAAAAATCTCTATTAAATTTAATTTCCATTAAAATACATAAATAGGTACCTCACTAATTTTTGATATATTTAATAATTTGTTAAAAGGTTTGATACATTTTAAACATGCAGTGCTTAAAAACCTTTTTTTTTAACATTAAAAATTTCAAAACTTATATTAATTTAATGAGATATTTTAAATATGTTTAAATTATTTACTATGTTTTAAATAGATTTTTTTTTTAACAACCCTACTATTGGTTCAGCAAATATCTCATGTACTTTTTTTTTTAAATAATTTTTACAATTCTAGATTACATTAAAAGCATATTTTTATTATTTGTCTATAATAATAAAATAATAAAAAAATTGTATTTTTTAATTTTTTCAAAATTTTAAAACAGTCATTTTCTTACAAAAAGTGTTGATGAGTGAATAACAACTTTAGGATAAGTACTTATTAAGTTATGACCATTACAATACGAAAGTTAAGTTTCAATGCTTATGAAAGCAATAATATATTTTCCATGAAATATTTGCTATCTGAAATGTATAGCAAATTTTAATGAATACTATAAATAATTAAGAACAAAACATTTAGGAAGATAAGTTTGGATTTTGGAAAGGGCGAGGTACAAGATAAGTGACAATAGAACTAAGACAAATCTTTGAGAGAATAATTACATTGAATAGAAATATTATAGCAACATTCATAGATTTAGAGAAGGCTTTCAATAAAGTCCATTGGAGAATTTTATTCAAGATATTAAGAGAAAAAGTAATTGATTGGAAAGATATGTTCAACTTATAGAAGGATCAAACAACAGAAATAAATGTAAATGGGTCAGTAAAATAAGCAATAAGGAGAGGAGTGAGACAAGGATGCCTTTTGTCAATATATATACTGCACTTGCTTTGAGGATGATATTGTTATCTTAGTAGAGTCTGAACATGACATGAATAATATGATGAAAATTCTATCAAGTGCACTTGATAAATTTAAAATGAAAATAAATTCCATGAAAACCAAAACAATACGCTCAGGTCTAAATTTTAATACACAAATAAACAATACACAATTACAACAGGACCTTAGAAGTATCATAGCTCCTAATAACAAATCAACACCAGACATTAGAAGAATAATAGCTTTGGCAAAGTAAACATTCCAAAACAAAAATCAGCTTCTCATCAATAAACATCTGAGCAATGGTATACGTAAAAGATCCGTTAAAACTTTGTCTGGAGTTTACTTTCATATAGCAGTGAAACATGGACAATTGACAAGAAAGACAAAAGCAAACTAGAGGCATTACAATAATTGTATGGAGAAAAATTACAAAGACAAAATGGATAGACAAGACAAGAAATGAGCAAGTACAAGAAGAAAGATAGCTGATGAAAGTCATTGAATCAAGAAAAAATAAAGTTAATCGGACACATCATCTAACACATTGATTATATAATCAATATCTTTGAAGGCAAAATAACTGGGAAGAAACCAAGATGATGCCCAAGGAACAATATTTTAAACATATCCTGGAACTCTTGAACTGAGGGTCTTTTGTTTCATTAAAGAATTTGGAGTCAAACAGAGAAATGTGGCTTCAAAGAAAAGGCATTGCCATTAATAGATAATGAAGTAATATAGTAGTTAAACTTTTTTTGAGTTAAATATTTTTAATATAATTTTAATATTTAATATTAAATAATGATCAACTATTATTCTTATTAATTTAGTAGATCTTTTGGAAGCCATTTACCACCTCAGTGTCAATTACCATTGAGATGATTAACAAAACCTACAGAAATTGCGTAGTAATCTGAATTACAATTTTTCAAAAAACATTTCAGTCAAAATTTTACCACATACGCATATAAACAAAGTGTATACCAGTAATAATGTATTATACATGTGGTGATATGCTGATAAGTGGATTAAATTATTTTGAAAAGACTTTACACTATTTATGAAGAATAAAAGAGTATGTGAGAGTAAGATATATCTAACAAACTCTTGCATGAATTTGACTAACGCTTAATTGCATAGTTTTTATTTAAAATTAAAATTTTTTTTCATATAAAATTCATATAAAAATATCAAAATTCTTACATGTAAATTAAGTTCAAAAATTGAATTTATAATAATAGCTGCATTGTGTAACTATATTTATGGCAACATCTTATGAATAAAATAAATAAATAAAATCAGTAAAAATATAATATAACTTTCATAAGTTTTAAAACTTGAAAATCTTCAAAATGTGGTTTTTTTTTAATTAATAGCATACATGATATTGAAACATATTTTTTATATCAATTCATTAGTACTAAGATATACAAATTGATACCCTTTTTATCATAAGTAATATTTCAAATATATTGATGAGAATAAGTAAAATAGGAGCCAAAAAATTAATTACTTTATCATTGGCCTCTTCAAGTTGTTGATAGAGGTTTTCATTTTCAGCGACTATTTCTTTACTTCTGGTTGAAAATCGAGCAAGTTCGTTCTTATAAGTTTCAATAGTTATATCTTTTTCTTCTAAGGATGTTTGATAAGCTTCTAATAAAGGTGATACTGCACTAAGATCTTCCCGGCGCCAATTAATACCTTTTGGACCTACAAAGAAGATATTATAACATCTATCTATGATGAAAACTGTATGGTAGTATTTTACAAATAAATTAGATACTATTTGAAGCTGTATTTTTTCAAGTTATACTTATGAAGTATTTTAGGATATTACAATAAAATCAATGTGTTATAAAATGAATTAAAAATGTTAAAATTATGTAGAATATATTACATACTATACTAATAAACTAATCTAATAAATATTTAATAGCAAATTAGTGATATATAACTTTGAACAATAAAAAGCAAGCATTTTATTACTTTACAGACTAAAAAAGTGGTATAATAAGAATTTATATAGTCCAATTATTATTGTTTTTTGTATATTTATTGAATAATATAACTTATATAAAATCTTGAGCACCCCTGTAAGTTTCAATAATCTATTTTTATTGTAAGCCAATATTATTTTTAAACTAACATGATTATTGCACAAAAATAGTAATACATTCTACTAAAATCAGGGTTTATAAAACTTGCCTTGTATACGCATATAACTACTTGACTCGGATATTTGGTCCCTAGACAATAACTTATCTTGACACTTTTCTAATTCTTGATTTAATCTAAAGTTAAAATCATTTAAAACTAATAATCTCAATGAATGAAAATTAAAATAGAATATTACTTGTAGGTAAGATTTTTTAAGACAAAAACATCTTGTTTCAATGCATTGTTTTTTTCTGTTAATCGATTTACTTCACTTTGTCTATTCATACTTTCAATGGCAGTACATTGTCTTTTAAGTTCATCTCTTTTTTTCTCCAACTGCTTCAAATGAGAAGCCATTTTAGCAACATTTTCAGACATATCTACATCTAGAAATTATAGCACAGAAAATATTAATAATTTATTACTCCTATATTTTAATATCATTACTATTTCTCAAACGATCTAATGGGGACATTTCTAGTCTACTAATTTCATGACGAGACATTCTTTCCATAAGGGGAACCATAGATCTTTCTGCAACTACATCTACAATATAAGGAACCTATAATACAAGCTTTATTAGTAATTTTGTAAAATAACCAATACTATTATGTTAAGAATATACTATATACTTTGTCAGAAGTGTTTGTGCGAGATCTACGAGGAGGAATAGGAACCTGTTCTTCAAAATTGTAGTTACTCGCCATATTTTTTAACGATACAAAGGTGTGCAGTCTTTATTATATATGAAAGGTATAGAAATAAATAAGTTATAAAAGATAATGAAAAGTATTAGTTTACATTTTTATGAATCTTCCTTATTACAAAGAAAGATAAATTTGTACTATACTATATTACATCTCACTATTTCCTAACACGGAAATAAATAATAAAAATTTTGGATAGCATAAATATCGACAATTATAATCGTTGAAGTACATTTTACTTAGACAAAAAATACTTCATAGAATAGAAGTAGGTGTACTCTATACGTGCAACATTTGATATGAAAAAAATCGTTAATCTTATCAAATTAGAATTTTTTTTTTTGATATTATGATAACGTTGCGCAGTAAACATTGCCTCACTACCATTCATGTACTTATGTTTATTGAATAATATTGTATTTTACTTTAATATTAAAATTAAGAATCATTAAAAGTAATTAATAACCATATAATTGATTGATTATTTAGGTCATTTGTAATTATTTCAACATTAAAAAATCTTTTTATATCCGAGTTATTAAGTTCTAGTATTTAAATAATTTTTAAATTAATTATTAAAGTATTATAAATTATAGTATATTATATTATTAGTAAAAAATATTATAATTCTTATGAATTTCAAAATATAAAATATTCAACTTGTGGGAGATATAAATCATCAACAATCCTGTGATCCCATAAAAAAAAATATTTAAAAAACACAACTAATCAAAAATTTATATTGTAAACTAAATAAGTCTCATTTTTCATAGAACAATAAAGTTCATAGTGCTTCTAATAACATGTACCTATATTTACCCATTTAAAATATAAATTATTTAATACAATAAGAAAAAATAAAATTTAGTTATTCTTTAAAAAAAAAAAAAACATAAAAATAACAAATGTATAATTTTTTTTCATGAGGATTCATTAGAAACAGAATGTACAGTTAAAATGCACTATTTGTTATATATAAAAACATTGCCACAAATCAACTACATTTAAATAATTTGCACATTATTTTACACAATAAAAACAAAATGGTTGTTTCTATTTTAATTTTAAGAATATCAATAATAAAATACACAATTTGTTTTACTTACACTATTTTTTAATTTATTTTTAAAACTATTATAAAAATTACAGAGATCCTTTTTTTTAAAAAGTTTATAGAAACATATTGAATTTTATTATTTATGCAGTAGTAAATATTTTTATAAAAGTAAATGTCATCAATTGTATTACTAGTTTGTCGTGAGTATCAGTAAAAATTTTGTTGTAAGGATTGCAATGTTTTGCAAGTAAGATTTATTTTTAAAACATATTAAATTAATAACACTTGTAATATAATAATTATTATATTAAACAGGAGGTTGAGGGCGTACTGATTCTTTTGGATTTTTGACTACTAGTATAACTGAATCTCCTCTTAAAAACATCTTTGAAATATACTTGTCACGGCTAACAGCCTTTGCCTAAAAAAAAAATAAAGTAAAATTATGTACTTTATTTTATTTATATTTTATGTAAGGTGAATGAAAAAGATTATCAGAAACACCTCTTGCTTTGGTATGTTTGTATCAGGATTTATTTCTATTATGCTTTGCTAAACAGTTTTTTTTGTACTCTCTAGCACAAGTTTAAGAAAGGATGTTAAACATAAAATATCAAAATAATAACAAAGCACAATAAAAATATGTCAATCTTAATAATATATAAAAAACTTGTTTAAATTTTAGATTAAAATATAGATAAAAATTTTAGACTAATTAAATTTTACCTTTTTTTTGCCTTTCCCAGTCTTTGGTAATTCAGTCCATAATTCACGGACATTTTCTAGTACCATATTACAGTGACGGTCAAAAGCTTTAATTCTTCCTAATAGTTTTCTGTTATTTCGACAATTAATCAATACTTGAGTATTATTTCGCACTGATTGAGTCAATACAGACATAGGACCAGTAGTAAATTCTTCTTCTTCACGTTTTGCTAGCTCCTCTGGAGTCATTTCTGATTTTGGTTTATTAGCTACAGCAGCCCTAAAAAAATAACCCATATTATTCAAAAATTGAAAATATAACATTCAATATATAGCTATAGCTATAGTTGAATCATAAAATAAATATAAAAATCAAATATTAAAGATCTTTATCAATAATACTGTAATACTATTAAATAATGACAATTATTTTAACTGAGTAACAACATAGCTTATAAAATAACCAATATGATAAATTTCAAGTATAATGATCATATAACAATTACTTTTTATTATCTGAACCATTTTTGATTAAATAATAATAAATAAATCATTGTATTATTAAAGCTAAATTAACTTCTGCAAAATTAGATAAATAAATGTATACAAATCACTTATTAAGTTAAAGGAAAATCATTTAATATGAAGAACTAATTTATTTAATACTCCCACATGTTATCATTTTAAAGAAAAAAACTATATGTGATCACTTTTGGAAAAATTTGAGTAAGATAACACTAATTATTTTATTAAGAATTATAATAAAGGAATACTTACATTTTGTTGATTTTTTATTTATCTATAATTTGTAACGAATTTTTTAGACGATACTTTATTTAATATATCGTGTACAAAGAAAATATATGTTTCTCTCAGATATTTTGACAAACAAAAATAATACAGGAAAACTCGGACAAATTTAACAAATGTCTTACGACAATAATCGATAACAGATCCAAACAATCAACTTGTTTAGCCCGAACGTAATTATTCGTAAAATATAACCTCAAAATTGATGTAAAACCTAACGAGATATCCATGCAATTTTCTCAAAGACATTCTAAATCTTATAAACTGTTCATTTATAAATATATATATGCTTCTATATCTATCACAATCTAAGATAAATTTAATGCCTATGAAGCTGATTTTTAATATAAAAATGATCATAAAGTATAGATTAAGGAGAAGAAACTTGCAAACATGGTTATGTACTCAGATTGGGGCACGGGGGGTTATCACTGTTGAAAAGGTGTTTGTATGCCACTAAAAAGCGCTAGTAGTAAACGATACTCAATTGATTTATGTTTAAAGAAACATTAACGACATTGATGTACCGGTTAGTTAAATATGTCTATAATTATAGGAGTAACAATAATTTTTTAAAATTACTCTTTGAAAATTGTAAAATCATGTTTTTCTTAAGAAATAAATCATCTATTATATATTATAGAAGTGTTTATAAACCACTACTCGAGGACTCGCAAAATAAATGCAATATTATTTGTATGTTTATACTAAGAACAGTTTAAATTAATGTAAATTATATAAAAAAAAAAATATTGGTTTTCAGTAAAAATAATTTTTGTGGTAATAACTTTACCAATTGAATAAAAATAATAACTTAAACCAAAGATTATTGTTAGTAGTACTAAGATTACATTTAACATACTTATTGTGCACAATACTTATATTAAGACTCACATGGTGAGATGCACCAAAAGCTTCATTAGCAACTATTACAAACGGTAATAAATGTGATTGACCGGGTAAGGTTTTCGGTAGTGGTACAAAAAGTTCATTATCTTCTAGCTTTTGTAAAACTTTGTTTTTTTTTTTTAAATTGTTGAATCACATAACTTTCCTTGACCTCCCACGTCAATAAAAGTAAAACAATAATTTGCATCACAAAAAGCCATAAGAACTAGTGGATAGTAATTTTTGTAATTATAAAAGTCTGATCCTCTCTGGATTAGTTTGATTAAGCGAATGTGTTTACCGTCCAGAGTGCCAAAGCACTTTACAAAGTTAACATTGTTTTCAAAACCCGAAACAATTTCTTTCAATTTTTTCTGATTTGGCATAATTTCAGATTTAAGTCCCTATAATTCGTCGCATACATTTTCTACTATTTGACTAATAGTAGATATTCTTATTCTATATGAGTAATGAAGATCTGTGAATGATGCTAAGTATTTACAAATTAAAGTATACGAGCTTATTAAAATATATCGCCAGTATATATTCAAAAAGCAATAGATAAGATAAAAGAAGATACCAATATAGGGATAAAGATCAATGGTCAGAAAATAAGTATGTTGCGCTTCGCCGATGACGTAGCCTTATTTGGTGAAATTGAGGAAAATTAGATCAACTGATGAAAACTCTGGATGAAATATTCATTAGGGATTTGCGTATGAAAATAAACGTGTAAAAACAAAAGTACTCGTCTGTGGAAGGGTAAATAAAACCAAAGTACGTATAAAACTATAATTTAATATATATATATACATATATGTGTTGTATTTTGTGTAGAACACAATTAATTTATGTAATTTTTGGGCAAAAGACAAACAGGGGTCAACTGCTATAAGAAAGAACCCTTATGTTAACAAATAGTGCCTTGTATAAAGAGTCGCGAAGAACTCGTTGTTTTACAGCGGTCACAACAAATATACAATGTGACTGTGTACGCAACAAAGTTCATGAAAGGTTTGAAAGTTATAACCTATGCATATAGGATATTTTTATACAACACAAATCTTTAATAAAGATTATTTATAAGGTTGCAAATATATCATCCTTATTATATAATGATTATTATTCGAGGGACATCAACGCACAGTTATAGATAAATGCATGGTATTTTTAAATATTAAGCATTGCTTGACATTCAATCAAAGCGTTCGAATGAAACAAATGTTCCGTTTGTAGTATTGAAGTTAATTCTTAAATTAAATATTAAATATTAATATTTTTTTAACAATGAAATGAATTCTACAAGGTACCACTGTGTTTTGACTTGGGTTCATAATTTTATAATAATCAACTAAATTTAATTAACATAAATAGATTATTGATTATTTATAATATCATTTTTTAAATGTCATATAAATGTATGTAAAAACTGTAATAATTGGTAGGTTTATTTAATACGTTTACGGTCAATGGTACAATTTTTTCTAAGTGTTTAAACTAACAACATAAATCGACATACTTTTTTAAAAATATTACTTAATTTATTCTTTAAGGAAATCTGTTTTCAATTAAAAGATCAATTATTGTGACAAAACTGTGTATCTTCTTAAACTTTAATACTAAGCAATATTTAAGTAAATACTCTAATTTATATAATAAAAATATATAAATATAATTGTATATACAGGGTGATTTTTTTATCATAACCCACTCAATTACTTGCAGAATAATAATAATTTAAACATTTTTTTTCTTTATTATCTTTAGTTACACATTATTCTTGAATTTTTAACTATGTAATACTTTTTAAGTTCATCCCTTATGCCTTGGAAGGGGGTCAACTTTGTTTTTTTAAATGGTAACACATATTTTTAATTTAATAAAATGTTTGAGTTTTTAATTTAATAGTAAATGGCATTTGAATTTTTAATATAACTTNACATTATTCTTGAATTTTTAACTATGTAATACTTTTTAAGTTCATCCCTTATGCCTTGGAAGGGGGTCAACTTTGTTTTTTTAAATGGTAACACATATTTTTAATTTAATAAAATGTTTGAGTTTTTAATTTGAAAGTAAATGGCATTCGAATTTTTATTGAAACTTTATTCATTTATTAGATATAAACATTTAAAGTATTAATTTTTTGAGTTAATATACATGTATAATACACAAGGGATTACAAATACAGGTAGCTATTTGGATTTTTATGACATTGCTGTCTCAGTCACGGATTGTTTATTATCAATTATGATTATCAATAGACAAAGGCGTAAAGCATTTGAGTAAATGTATTTGAATAAAAGTATTCAAATACTTTCATTGGTATTGAATAGTATTTTTAAATACATTTAATAAAAAGTATCTGAGTAGTATTTTAAATACAATTAATTAGTATTTAATACTGTTTAATATTCAGTACTATTAATATACTTTTTTTTTTTTAATTTGCTAACCGTAACACAGCAACCAAATTAAACTCAGTCAAAATGAAAATTGAGAATAATTCTCTGTTATTTTATATGTTACATTATAGTATAACATAATTATTGTGCTTATCTAAATGCTATTATGTATACATCTATTTTTAATACATCAGTTGAACCTACAATAGCCTATTGCAGGTTCAAATGATTTACTGTATTGTCAATAAGACATACTTTACAGGTTTTTACACGTGTACTAATATTTATTTTTTTCACTGATTAGTCTCCAATAATTAATTTTATTTACCTCTAACAAAAAATATCGAAAATAATAAATGAGTTCTCTTAATTTAAGAGTACTCAATATTTGACTCAAATTACCCTCTTGGTAATTATTTAGGTGGAACCTATTGCTCTTAGTTAAAATAAAAACATTATTATTATTTTTTAATTGTATTCTTAGTATTTGAAATACTTTTGTAAAGTAATTGAGTATTACTCAAATACTTTTGTATGAAAAGTATTCAAATAGTATTTTAAATACATTTTNATTGTACGAAAAGTATTCAAATAGTATTTTAAATACATTTTTTTTTTAATATTTGAGTATTATTTAAAATACTTTTTAAAAGTATTTTTTACAACTATGTCAATAGATATACTTTCTGTATTGTCAGTTGGTGTATTTATAAACTCATAACAATGTGCCTTACTACAATTGATAATAACAATGCTGTGTACCTGCTAATATCGATGTTATAAAAAACCAATTAGCTACCTATATTTGTAATCCCTTGTGTATTATACCTGTATATTAATTCAAAAATTTGAAACTTTAAATGATTATATCTAATAAACGAATTAAGTTATATTAAAAATTCAAATGCCANGATGTTAACAACCGGATCTTATAAAAAAGGGTTGTATACTTTTTTATACAATTTAAATTTCATGTCATTACACATAGGGAGTAGATTATTTTTATAATGTTATATATAATAAAATATATTAAATCTAACTCATATTTTACACTTTTGAAAAATGATGAAATGTAATTCTGTAAAATTATTAAATTCGGCATTATACATTCAATATTAAAGTATTTAATGATAAAAATTCAAAAGTAACATTAAAATAATGGTGTCAATAAAGTGAAAATTTAAAATTAATCATAGCCTTAAACTATTGTAAAAGCTTATAAAATCATCTCTTAGACAGAGGGCGCTTTATGTTAGGGCATTGTGCATAACAACGATTTTCCGAGCTGTGTCGTATAATATGACTAAGGGTGAAAGGTGGAAAAGGGATGTTGACATAAAATCCCTTAAGGCAGCCTTTACTAAAAACACGCAATGCTATGCACCAGACTGTGTAAATCGAATGTGCGTTTACTTTGTAATTTATAATATCAAGATGAAAACAAAAGGCGATCCTGAAATGATGCCGCTTACAGAAAATGACGATAGTGGTTGTGATGATACTATATTCAACGACCAACAGCCTTTGTCAAGACCGAAAAATGTTGAAATTCGAATTTGTGATGATAAAACTGAAAAACCATCAATTAATGACATGAAAATATCGCTTATGGCTTGTGTTCGAATTTTTAGCCTCGGTACCCTTTGGCGGTTTCCTTATGTGTGTCTGAAATATGGCGGAGGTAAATTTTAAATTTATTATTTAATTTAAGATGCAGTGCAACAAATAGAATGTTTAAATTTATTACAAAAATCAGAGTAAAAAATTATTAGAATAAAACAAAATAATAAATGTATTTATCAAAGTATTCGCGGATTTCAACGTAAACTAAAAAATAATAGATTTTTAAGTTAAATCTCCGAAAAATTTCAATTTTTTATGGTTTTTGAATATTTCTATGTGATTGTAGCTTGAAAAAAATGATTATTTTTGAAGTTTCTAAATTTATATGTAAGTTTTGCTCTGAGGTTTTGTTCCATATTAATAAAAAATTAATGAAATATTTTCTTTATTTATAGGTTTATTTATTTTTTGTAGAAAAATTTATATTGTCATATATTGTATTATACAGGGTGGCCCACCACTCACTGACAACTTAAATAACTTTTGATATCTCAATAATTAATTTTTTTACATTTTATTAAAAATATTAATTATTTTTAAATTTTAAATAAAAAGTAAAAAAAAAATCTAAGATAGCTATTTTGTAGAGTAGAATTTAAGAAAAATTTTAGTAAAAAAATATCTTATTAATATTGAGTAGTAAATATTCTGTAGCGTTTTGAAGTTTGTGAAATTTTGAATTTTCATGTACTATTTTACGGTATTAAACATTGAAATACGTATTGAGAAAAGGACAGAAGAAAACGCTATCTTTTCAATATACTTTTGAATGAGAGTGATAAGTAATAATTGCCTTATCTAATTTCTTATCATGGTATTAATGCCAAGTTTGTAATGTATACACACTATCATCATATGTATACACAGTAATCATGAAAAGATAGCGTTTTCTTCTGTCCTTTTCTCAATACGTATTTCAATGTTTAATACCGTAAAATAATACATGAAAATTCAAATTTTTACAAACTTCAAAACGCTACAGAATATTTACTACTCAATATTAATAAGATATTTTTTTACTAAAATTTTTCTTAAATTATACTCTACAAAATAGTTATCTTAGATTTTTTTTTTACATTTTATTTAAAATTTTAAAATAATTAATATTTTTAATAAAGTATAAAAAAATTAATTATTGAGATATACCTATAGATCTAACGTATAACTATTATTTAAAAAAAAAATCAACTAAAAATATTAACTGGATCAAAAGTTATTTAAGTTGACAGTGAGTGGTGGGCCACCCTATATATTATATTTTTAGGAATTTTTATAGGATAAATTTAGAAGATAAGTATATTAAGTATATTAAAAAAAAAAAATTTTAGAACATTCAAGTCAGGGTCCTACCTGTAATATTATACTACAAGTAAAAATTTTAATAATGCATACTTCTTTAGTGTTATTTTTACTCAAATTTTTTAAGTATTTGTAAAAATTAAAATTTTTAATAAATCAATTATGGAAAATTCAATGTATATTATTAATTGATTGAATCTCATTAAAAATATATAAAGGTTGTGTTTACTAAACATTTTTAAAAATTCAAATAAACTTAAAATTATAAAAAAAAAATGTTGAGCCCCATTTTAGTGAAGAGTTATTTTTAAACTACATTAAGTACCATAAATAAAGTTTATGAGTATATTTTAGATAATTTTTTTTATATTTTAATAAATTATGCTCTAAATGTTTGCTGGATGAACTGGACACCATCTTTGTTTGTTTAACCATAAATCCATACATAACTTATGATACACACATAGACATCGGAGGCGAGCAATTTTTTGACCAGGACTAATATCATTCATACAAATGATGCATTCTCTATCATAATTTGCAACAAAAATATCTTCGTTATAAGTCAGGGCTCGTAAATTAGCAGTTTCAATACACCGTTCAATATGTCTAGTAAAATATATTTTTGATTTATTATTTAATTTATTCAGCATAAAAAGAAACATTTTCATAATTGTATTAAAATTCATTAATTACACAATATTAAAAATTGTGTTAATTAATAGAATATATCAACGATATCAATATTTTGATTCAATGCTGAATCGTTGACTTTTTCAAAAAAAAAAATTACAATTTCAAAAAATTCAAATAACCGTATACAATAATATTGTTTTTGAATTTATATCTAAAAAAATAAAAAAACTCTCTGATCATGATAGAAATTATCCCACTAAATCCTTTAGTTTAGTGTCCTCTCTAGAAAAAAGTATAGTTGCATTAAAAAAATTGACCATCAAGAACAAAATTAAAATAACTCAATAAACAAATTAAGCAAGTCTACTTAAACAATTTTTCAGGTAAGCTATTTACAAAAAAATGTTGGCTTATGAAAATGTCAAAACGTTTTTTCTAGATTAAATATTTCTGCAAATTGTGTGTATATAAAACTCATCATTGTACTAAAGTACACAGAAAAAAAGCTGTTTTAAATGCAGAGAAAAAAGTACATTTTAAAATTTTTTTGAAAAATGTAGTTAATTATAATTCATTTAACCAATTAATTAATTGCATTTTATTTAATTAACATTCAATTAACTAGTTTGTACATTTAAATAATGTAAAGATAAAATTATTTTTTTTCTAGTTATTTAGCACAATTCAATTAACAAAATTAAATTAAAGGATAAAAATATTTGTACATAATAGATAAGTATCAGAACAATTTTTTTTAACTTATAAGTTGTAACATAAGCTTTAATTTAACATGTGTTTGAAGCTAAGTGTTTCTAGAATATTTTTAAAAGTTAAGTTAGAAAAGTTAACTTTTTATGCAAAAGTTTATATTTTGAATCACCTCTTATTGACAGGTGAAGGTCACATTTCCAATAAAAAATATCAAAATAGTAAGAGAAATATCTTAGTCATTTATGAAAAAAAAATTTGTTTTGATTGATTTTTTTTTTAATGTCATGACAGTTTTAAATGAAAAAAGTTTAAAAAAACGTCAAAATTTAACGGTTATAAAAATTGTATAATTTTTGTGGATTTCTCTAACTTAAAACGAAGGATATTTTTTCAATTTTCAAAAGTAATTTTTTTCATTTGATATGATTTATGACATTTTGACGTATAGTCAAACAAAATCAGTGAGACCCGAGAACTAGTAATGACAGACACACAAAAAAAAAACCCAGCACAGGGGGGTCGCGGCACAGTGGTGACGTGGCATAGTTGGATCAAGTATAATGATATCTGACAGTGATTAAAATCACTATAAAAAAAAAACGCTTCGAAGCAAATCTTTAGATAGTGTTTAATTTTAAAAAATTGGTGGATTATTCCAAAAGCTTCATAAACTGCTAGTTCCTTATTAATATCCTGATTAAGATAAAGTATGTCGAATGAAAAAGGGATTATTAAAAAATAGTATTTCCCATAAAAAAATTATATTGATCAATACACTTTTCAATAAGTTATAGCATTATAAAGTTAAAAATGTAAAAAATAAAATCGAGAATTTTAACACAAAAATAGCATACGGTAGCCATTTTCACCATGAAGACAAAATAAAGTCCGAAATTTTTTTTTTACATAATATAGTAGACTACATTAGCTTTAATTTAATATATATAGAAAAGTGTCAGACTTTCCGGAACACTTTCAAAATTTAAGTTGAAAAAGTCAATTTTTTGTGAAAAAGTTGTCATTTTGAATCCCCCCCTGTAGGCAGGTAAAAAGTCAGATTTATAAAAAAAATATACCAAATGATAGGTAAAGACATCATGCATCTACAAAAAAAAGAATTATATTGATCCATACATCTTTCGAGAAGTTATAGCATTATAAAGTTAAAAATATAAAAAAGAATTTTTTTACAAAAATCGTATTTTTTTTATTAAGTTTAATGTCTGTTTTCACCATGAAGATAAAATAAAGTCCGAAATTTTTTTTTACCATTATAAAGTATATTACATTAGCTTTAATTTAAGATATATATAAAAGTGTCAGACCTTCCGGAACACTTTCAAAAGTTACGTTGAAAAAGTTCTACTTTCTATATGCATTTTTATGTTTTGAATCCCCCCTGTATTTAGGGAAATGGTCCGATTTAAAAAAACAGTATGTCGAATGAAAGATCTATATAAATACTACTTCTCATAAAAAAATTGTAATGATTCATACATTTTTCAAAAAGTTATAGCATAATAAAGTTAAAAATGGAAAATACAAAATCGAAAATTTTCACACAAAAATAGCATTCGGTAGCCATTTTCACCATGAAGATAAGATAAAGTCCGAAATTTTTTTTTTTCATGATAAAGCATATTACATTAGCTTTAATTTAAGATATATATAAAAGTGTCAGACCTTCCGGAACATTTTCAAAATTTAAGTTAAAAAAATTAATTTTTTGTGAAAAAGTTGTCATTTTAAATCCCCCCTTGTGGGCAGGTTAAGGGTTAAATTTATGAAAAAAATATACCAAATGAAAGGTAATGATATTATGCATCTATATAAAAAAGAATTATATTGATATGTTTATTTTTGAAAAAGTTATGGCACTTTTAAGTAAAAAAAATTGAAAAAATTTCGATTTTTAAATTTATAATTTTTTCGGAGGTTTCCCCCATTTACGGGGAACGAGGCAATTTTTTTCAATTTTTGAGGGTAATGTTTTCGAATAGATACGATTTGTGATCTTTTGACGTATTATTGAAAGAAATCGGTTCGGTGAGAGCTGAGAAAAAGTGGTAACAGACACAAAAAAAANTTGAAAGAAATCGGTTCGGTGAGAGCTGAGAAAAAGTGGTAACAGGCACAAAAAAAATAAAAAAAAAACACATCTTAGTAAAACCAATACCTTCTCAGCTTCGTATCGAAGCTAAAAGTAATGAATATACCATGATAAAATTAATAACTTCTTAGCTTCGCATCGAAACTAAAATAATTCAAACTCAACTTTAATGACCCCCAAAAATTGTTATGCTTTATTCGGTTAATCTGAAAGAAGATTCGGAAATTCTATATTATGTCCTATGTCATTGTGTGTTACTAAAAGAATCTTCGTAATTAAGTAAATAAAAATTTAATAAGGAATGCTTGATTATTCAATAAAAAAATTATAAAATTTACGTTATATAAAAAAATGAGTTTTTGACTTAAAAGAAAAATAAATTTTCAATATTTAATACTTAGATTAAAAAAATATACCTACATTACTAACAGAAAACTTTTTTTTTTTTTAAATAAAAACAATACGTACCTTGAAGTATACTAAAGTTTTCTAACGTATTTAATTTTTTATTAATACTTCCTAACCTGTGGTACAAAGGGCCCTTAATTAGCCTCTGGTTACAAATTTGGCAATATTCTTTTCTGAAAACATTGATCCAAATTGTAACTATATTTTTCCTCCAAAATTTTAGTAATCTATAATTAATTGTTTTACTCATTTATAATTTTAAATATGTGTTAAATTTTTAATATTTATTTTAAGTTGATAAATGAAACTATAGTAATTGTCATTTTTCTTTAATACTAAAAATAAAATTCTCTGACAACAATTCTTATTTTTAAAAGCTTTGGTTTAAAGAGATTAAAAGTTTTTTCTAAGATAAAATAAAAAAACTGGTAATCGTCTATTTTTTAAATTTAGCTAAAACGTTATACAAAGCGATATCTAGTAAGACACTCTTTTTCTTAGAAATTATTGAGAATTTTTGTAAAGAAAAAATAATAAAAAACTGTATAATAATATAAAACTAAATAATTATTTTCAACCCTTCAAGGTTAAAAAACCTTAAAAGAAATTGCATATTATTATGGTTACCTACAACCTAAAATAACCTAAAATTTTTTCTCTTTACAAACATTTTAGTTTATAAAAATTGTACAATATTCTTTTAAAGAATCAAGTATTATATCAAAGAAAATTAATTGGTCTCATATATAAACCATTTTTTAGGTACATTTTTAATACCTTACACAATAACCATGTTTTTGGTTGGATATCCATTACTTGTCATGGAAATTGGTATTGGCCAAAAGCTCAGACACAATAGTTTTACAGTTTGGACAGCTATTAACCCACAATTAAGAGGTATAAGTGTAGTCATGTGCATGATTAGCGCAGGAATGATTTGCTATTATAGCATCATTTTATCTTGGGGATATAAATACATGTTCGATATCAATTTAGTAAGTTAAATATTTTTAATAATTGTAGGGTCCAGTGCAATAATTAGTTTTTTCCGTTTTTAAAAAATTTCCAGAAGATACAAAAAATTAAATAATCTTAATATAATAAATATATTTAGGATTTCATTTTTGAAATGTGTAAATAACCAATTATTGCCCCAGTACTCTTTAATTTATATAATCAGTATTAACATAATTATTAAACCTAAACCCAATAAATTTCAAAAATATTTTTTCTAAAATTTTTTCCTTGAAGTCTTGGTCAAGTTCTTCATCACCTTCTAAATACTGGTTTTGAATGACGTATTAAGAATTGTTACCCTTAAAAAGGGTACAGTTAAAAAAAATGACTATATATCTTACATATCATAAATTTACCTTCACAATTTAACGACCGCTTTTTTTTTATGATGACCATTGAACATAGATGATCAAACAAGGTTTGGTTTAATAAAAATGAAGCAATCATAACTAAGATGGTAGTATTTTCTATTTCACTTAATAAAACAGTGACATTAATCAGATAGTTAGTGGAAAAAACAATTACGGCTTATATAAGATTCTTATCGACAAACACAATAACAATACATTTCCTATCGCAATAAGCTTTACGCAGTACGCTGCCGATAATTATAAAATTGTTTTACTATACATAATTTCTTTTATATTATCCGTCTTTTTATAGGTCCTAGGCACAGTGCTTATAATGCCTAATGAATAGTATGATCCTGCATTTAACGGTTAATTTATTAATGTTTTTTTTCAAGTCTCGAGAATCATTAACCCCGTATGGACTAATACCTATTGATTCCATAAGAATTCAAACTTTCTGGCACAAAACTGTACTTAACGTGACAAGCTCAATAACAGATTCCAACGATGTGCAGGAAGGACAAGTATTTTCTCAAGTTATTACTTGGATGGCTATTACAACCTTACTTGTGACTTTATGGATATCCTTAAAGTTCAGAAGTATTAGAGTAAGTAGTCAATGAGAATAATTATAATATTTGATTTTACCTGTATTAAAATAAAAATGAACCATAGTTAATAATTTGACGCCACGACAGCACATTTTATTTCCACATTTTGGCTCCTATCTACAATTAGTTTTAATTTGTAAATGATTTTTTATTAAAATTTTATTCCAATTATTTATTTTAGTCGTTTGTCGTGCTATGGGATGTATGGTACCAAAGCATACCATTCTTTATACAATGTTTTATATACATTTTTTTACCAGTGTTATTGTTAGTGATGTATGTTGTTAGATCTGGTTATGGATATGTTAGTTTCATTTATATTACATCCATTGAGGTAAAAACGTATTGTATTTTTTTTGTTTAAAACTTATTGCTGTTGTTTGAATTATACTAGTTTAAGGATTTATCAAATCTACAAATTTGGGTGGATGCTATAGTTCAAGTAATTTTTACCTTGAGCTTAGTTCATGGTTCTTGGATTTCATATGGTTCACGATCAAGTCGTAGTTCTAATTATCTACTAACAGCAACTACAGTGATAGCATATAGTTTTTTTGTTGTATTTTCATGGACATTGGTCATCACTTGTTCCATTATTCCTACCGTGCTACAAGAAGTCAAGAACTGTGTAATTAGGTAAACATTTTTTAAAGCCCAATTTATTTTATTTTATAATGATTCATCAAATAATTGAGCTTAAAGAAGTTAAAGTGACATTTAAAAAAAAAAATAGGTTAAATTAAAAAGTAAAATAACTACTATTTCGATTGGATTAAATATTTCGGCGAATTTTTTAACGATAGTATTATTTATCATCGATTCCTTAAACAAACTCTATTGATAAGAAAAATATTACTTAATTTTTAAATTAAATTATCTAGGAAACAATTTTTCGTTACTTAAATTCTTTAGAAATTTTCTGTATATTCTATGCATATTCTTTAAATATATGTAGAATATTGGTTTTTAAGTATGTATCGCTAGATTTAGCAATATCTATTATCTCAATTAGAACTAATAAAAATTTATCTTAGAAGAATTTTGCTCCTACATTGGAAAAATAAATGTATAATTCTTCTTCTTCTTTTTCCTCGCCTTAATCTCTATTATTTGGTGTTGGCCACCTTTATCTTAAACTTCCGCTTGACACGATCTCTCACATCCTCATCGCTCACATCTACTGTCCCTATATCGCATTTAATAACTTCCCTCCGTCTCTTTTTTTGGTCTTCCTTCAACATTTATTTCTATAACTGTTCTTACAGCTTCCGATTCTTCTCCCTCATAACATGACCAAACCAACTAAGTCTATTTTCTCTAGTCTTATCCACGATTGACGCTACACTTATAGTCCTGTTCGTTCTTTATTCCGTCTTCTCTAAGCATTCCATTCATCTATTTAAGCATTCTCATCTCTGTTACTATCATTCTCTGATCTTAAATACTTAAAACTTTCCACCTCTCAAATCACGTCTTCGCCTATTGTCACTGATCTCCTTATTTCACCTACTTCGTGTTCTCCTTTATCAAACTCATACTCTATATACTCTATATTACTTCTACTTATTCTTAAACCCTTTTCTTCAAGAACTGATCTCCACACCTCTAGCCTTTGATTAATTTCCTTCCTATTTTCTCCTATTAACACTATATCGTCAGCAAACAACATGTAACACGGTACCTCTCCTTGTATTTCTCTAGTAATATCATCCATCATTATAGAAAATAAGTAAGGGCTTAAAGCAGAACCTTGGTTCATTCCTACTCTTACCCTAAAACCTTCTGTTACTCCTCCTACGCTTTTTACACTGGTACAAGTGCCATCATACATATCTTCTATTATATTAATGTACTTTTACAGGACTCCTTTTCTCATTAATGCCCACATTAAAACCTCTCTCAGTACTCTATCATACGCTTTCGCCAAATCTATAAATACCATACACAGCTTTTTCTTCTTTTCCTTAAACTTTTCTATTAGTTGACTCACACTAAATACTGACCCATTATTGATTTACCAGGCATAAATCCAAACTGGTTTTTAGAAACTGATATCTCATTCCTTATTCTCTTATTGCCTTTTTCTAAATTTTCATTCTATGACTCATAAACTTTATGCCTCTATAATTTCAACACTCCTGTATGTCATCTTTACCTTTATATATCAGCACTAAAATACTATTCCCTATTACTATTTCCATTCTAATAAGATTTTATTTAAAAGTTCCTTCAACTACCTTATGCCAACACCGCCTAAAATTTCCCATATTTCTACTGGCACTTCATCTGGTCCTACTGCTTTATTCTTTTTCATCGATGTCATAGTCTTCCATACTTCTTTCTCACTAATTAAATCTACCAGTCCCTCATTCCACAAGATATCCTCTAATGTCTCTTTTGGATACTCTTCATTCTGTAATTTTTCAAAATATTCTTTCCACCTTTTTTATACATCATCATCACTCGAGAGTACCTTATTATTAACACTTTTTATACACATTATATAATGATAATCGTTAAACCTTTTCTCTCTTATTTTTGCAAGTGTATAGATTTCTTTCTCGCCTTCTTTTGTTCCTAGTCTATCATACAACTCATCATACCCCTTAAACTTCGCCTTACTTACTGTACACTTGACTTCTTTACACAAGCGTTTATACTTCATCCAATCTTCTCTCCTTTTACTCTTCTGCCAAACTTTGAATTGCTTTTTCTTATTTTCTATGATTTTTTAAACGTCCTCATCCCACAACCAGGTTTCCTTGTTTTCAGGCATTCTAATACTACTTTCACCAACACTCTCCTTTGCAGTATTCTTTACACAACTAGCAAATTCCACACATCATTTATGTCACCTTCGACATTTCACACCGTCATATCTTTTACAAACTCTTTTTCATTTTCCCTTTTTAATTTCCACCACCGGATCTTCAATTTTTCCCTTGTGTTCCTTCTATTTTTGTATTCTCTTTCTGGTATATCACAACTTCATTATTATCAGTCTTTGTTGTGTAGTTACACTCTCGCCTGGTATAACTTTATAATCTTTTACTCGCTTTACGCTCTCTCTCTTCCACATAAAATAATCAATCTGTGATCTATTACCCCCACTCTTATAATTTATATAATGTTCTTTCCTCTTTCTAAAATAAGTATTAACCACAGCAAGATATTACGATACTGCGAAATCCAGGATTTTTTCTCCAGCCTCATTCTTCCCGCTAAAACGATACCCTCCATGTACTCTTTCATATACTTTCCTCTCATTACCTACATGTCCATTTAGATTTCCACCTATCACCGCATTCTCATTTCCAGGTTCCCCTTGCATCACCTCATCCATCTGTCTCCAAAAAACTTAAATATCCACTTAAACCAAAAGATCAATTTTACAACTATAATTCTATCACTTTTCTTAGCTACTTTTACTACTTTACTTTTCATCTCTACACCATTCTTTGTATTAGATTTACCTGAGTATATTATTTTATATTTCTCACCTATTTCCCTCGATTTCTCTCCTTTCCACTTAGTTTCCTGCACACAACAAATGTCAACTTTTCTCCGCTTCAATACTTCTACTAATTCTTTATTTCTACCAGTGAATTTTCCAACATTCCAAGTATCTATTCTTACTTTGTATCCATATTTCTCCCTTATTCACGAGTCTAGGCTAGACTTATGTGGTGATGTCCCTACACCGTTGATACTACAAACGTTGGGTAGACCTGTACACATGACTGGTGAAACAGCGACCGCACAAATTGTCCGGCTGGTATCAAACACCTTATTCCCTATTTTTCTTCTTTTTCCTATTTTTCACTTTATTCTCCGTTTTTAACTACTTTATTCCCTCTCACTTGTTCTCCCCGCGTACATCCGAGACGAGATAATTCTCCTAAGTTTTGTTCAGGACACCTCATACTGTTTGACAAAAATTTTACGCCGGCTGTCGACCTGACGCAACCTCATTAGTCGCCTCTTACGACTGGCAGAGGTACCGTGGAAGTTTTTTATCCCCTATACACAGGGAAACTTTTTGAACATTTAATTATTAAATTGCATGTCATTTTCATCATTTTTTTTTTTGTATGAAGACTAAATACTCTTCTTTGTATGTAAGTAAATGTTTATTCTGTTATTTATTAATTTCCCGTTTTTGTTACAGTTCAGCCTACAAATGGGATAATTCACCAGGTATGCCGTCACACATTTTTTATGGTGAAGATTATAACGCAGCTATTGCTAGTCGTAAATTAGACAATACGCTGGTTAATTTTGATGTACAAGAGTGTAGCATGGAAAATCAATTCAATTTGGTGTGTAATTGAAATGTCCATTCAAATTTTCATTTATAAATTATTAATTTTATGGAACTGTTTAAGGCTAGCAATGGTATGGGTATAGTTTTTGTAGCACTTGGAGGAATAAGTAGTATTTTTCATGCTGTCAGTAAATGTGAAATTTGTATTTTTGTCAATAACATTTGCTTATCGTTTATTTTAAATTTGTGGTTATACTGGTTGGTTTATTTATTAAAATGGCATGTCCATGCGCTAACTGAAGTAGAGTTTTTTAAAAAGACACCGAAAACGTGGATAACATGTAGGTAGAATTTAAACTGATACAAATTTGGTTAATATAAGAAATTTAAATATACTCTTAAAATTTACAGTAATAACATGTGTCACGTGTTGTACTTGTAGTTTATTGTTTGCTACCAGAACAGGAGTTTATTGGTTGTCACTAATCAGCTCAATTTCCATAAATTCTTGTATTTCTGTATTAGCTTTATGTGAAGTACTTATAGTGATATACATATATGGATACAAACAGTAAGTTTATAATAAAACAAATTAAATTTCATCTTTATAAATAGTATAGTTATTATTGAAAATCGTTCAAACTTCTAAATGAACAATGATGTTAATTTACATTTGAAAATGGTATTAGGGATGTATATGCATAAACCTTTTTCTCTATCTCTATTTAAAAATATACATTTAATCACTTTAATTTTTTCTAATTTATGTTATATAATATGCAATAGGCAATTATTACTATTTTGCAAATAAATTGATGTTAAATACTATGCTTAATCAATACCAAATCTATATTTAAGATGTACAAATTTCAAAACTGAGTCTCTTTTTAGAAAAAAATTCCATACAATAAATATATAATTTTTGAAAATCTTCTCATTATCGTAAAATTAATATCTCAACAGTTTTGCACCAAAACCAAAATGTAGCTAATTTTGAAAAAAAAAAAGTAATAGCTCGACTCATATATAATTATATAAAGAATGAAAATGTAAGATCCCCAAAAAGTAAGAAAAATAAAAAAAGGTACATAGCATCCCTTACACTTCCAGAAAATGCGGTTCTCCATTTAACCCTTTGATATTCCCTTATAATTCTGAAATATACTTAAATTTGTCTTGAAGGTTCTTGCTCGATATATACGAAGTGACTGGTTATATGAATAGCCGGTTAACTTATTTTATTTGGAAATACATAACTCCGTGTGTGCTCATCTTGACTTTATCATCAATACTAACAATTGGTGTCATGGATGGCTATAGATATGATATCTGGACCTATCGTAGTGTAAGGATATCATATTACACAATCGTAACTTTAGGATGCATTATAAAAAATAATAACTTAGTATTGAATTTCAGAATTTTTTGACTAAATCAACGTATCCTTACTGGACACAACTTATAGCTTGGGCAATATCAACAGTTTTTTTACTTTTGATACTAGTATTTTGTTTGGTAAACATGAAGAAAGAAAAAAAATTCGGAATTTTTAAATCTCTGGAAGTAAAAGTAAAAAAAAACTCAAATAGCCATAAACAACAATTAGGTTATTCACCGAACAAGCCATTTACTATGGACATTGATGTGAGTAAATAATTCATTTTTTTTTCAATAAACTGTAAAGACGATCAAAGATAAAAACCCAGCACAGGGGGGTCGCGGCACAGTGGTGACATGCCATAGTTGGATCAAGTATAATGATATCTGACAGTGATTAAAATCACTATCAATAAAATCGCTTCGATGCAAATCTTTAGGTAGTGTTTAATTAAAAAAAATTGGTGGATTATTCCAAAAGCTACATGATCTGCTATTTTCTTATTAATATCCTGAATGAAAAAGGGATTATTAAAAAATATTATTTCTCATAAAAAAATTGTATTGATCCATACTTAAAATAAAAATGTAAAAAATAAAATCAAGAATTTTCACACGAAAATAGCATTCGGTAGCCATTTTCACCACGAAAACAAGTCCAGATGTCAAATTTTTTTTTTTCATAATAAAGTATTTGACATTATCTTTAATTTAAAATATATATAAAAGTGTCAGACTTTCCGGAACATTTTCAAAAGTCAAGCTAAAAAAGTACTACTTTCACTATGAATTTTTATGTTTTGAACCCTCCCTGTATTAAGGGAAATGGTCCGATTCAAAAAAAAAGTATGTCGAATGAAAGAAGTATATAAATATTATTTCTTATAAAAAAATTGTATTGATCCATACATTTTTCAAAAAGTTATAACATTTTAAAGTTAAAAATGTAAAATATATAATCGAGAATTTTAACACAAAAATAGCATACAGTAGCCATTTTCACCATGAAGACAAAATAAAGTCCGAAATTTTTTTTTTACATAATATAGTAGACTACATTAGCTTTAATTTAATATATATAGAAAAGTGTCAGAATTTCCGGAACACTTTCAAAATTTAAGTTGAAAAAGTCAATTTTTTGTGAAAAAGTTGTCATTTTGAATCCCCCCCTGTAGGGAGGTAAAAAGTCAGTTTTATAAAAAAAATATACCAAATGATAGGTAATGACATCATGCATCTATAAAAAAAAGAATTATATTGATATGTTTATTTTTAAAAAAGTTACGGCAGTTTTTTGTAAAAAAAATTGAAAAAATTTCGATTTTTAAATTTATAATTTTTTTGGAGGTTTCCCCCATTTACGGGGAACGAGGCAATTTTTTTCAATTTTTGAGGGTAATGTCTTCGAATAGATACGATTTGTGATCTTTTGACGTATTATTGAAATTTTTTTTTTTAATATTAAAGTATATTACATTAGCTTTAATTTAAGATATATATAAAAGTGTCAGTATTTCCGGAACACTTTCAAAAGTTAAGTTGAAAAAGTTAATTTTTTGTGAAAAAGTTGTCATTTTGAATCCCCTTCTGTGGGCTGGTAAAGGGTTAAATTTATAAAAAAAATATACCAAATGATAGGTAAAGACATCAAACATCTATATTAATAAAAAATTATATTTATTTATTCATTTTTGAAAAAGTTATGGCAGTTTTAAGTAAAAAAAATTGAAAAAATTTCGAAAATTAGCGATTTTTAAATTGTAATATTTTTGGAGGTTTCCCCCATTTACGGGGAACGAGGGAAATTTTTTCAATTTTTGAGGGTATTGTCTTCGACTAGATACGATTTGTGATCTTTTGACGTATCATTGAAAGAAATCGGTTCGGTGAGAGCTGAGAAAAAGTGGTAACAGACACAAAAAAAAAACCCAGCACAGGGGGGTCGCGGCATAATGATGACGTGGTATGGATGGATCAAGTATAATGATATCTGACAGTGATTAAAATCACTATAAAAAAAAACGCTTCGATGCAAATCTTTAGATACTGTTTAATTTTAAAAAATTGGTGGACTATTCCAAAAGCTACATTATCTGCTAGTTTATTATTAATATCCTAATTAAGATAAAGTATGTAGAATGAAAAAGGGATTATTAAAATATATTATTTCTCATAAAAAAAATAATGTTGATCCATACACTTTTCAATATGTCATAGCATTATAAAGTTAAAAATGTAAAAAATAAAATCGAGAATTTTCACACAATAATAGCATTCGGTAGCCATTTTCACCGTGAAGATAAAATAAAGTCCGNTTCACCTTGAAGATAAAATAAAGTCCGAAATTTTTTTCTCGCATAATAAAGTAGATTACATTAGCTTTAATTTAAGATATATATAACAGTGTCAGACTTTCCGGAACACTTTCAAAATTTAAGTTGAAAAAGTCAATTTTTTGTGAAAAAGTTGTCATTTTGAATCCCCCCCTGTAGGCAGGTAAAAAGTCAGATTTATAAAAAAAATATACCAAATGATAGGTAAAGACATCATGCATCTACAAAAAAAAGAATTATATTGATCCATACATCTTTCGAGAAGTTATAGCATTATAAAGTTAAAAATATAAAAAAGAATTTTTTTACAAAAATCGTATTTTTTTTATTAAGTTTAATGTCTGTTTTCACCATGAAGATAAAATAAAGTCCGAAATTTTTTTTTACCATTATAAAGTATATTACATTAGCTTTAATTTAAGATATATATAAAAGTGTCAGACCTTCCGGAACACTTTCAAAAGTTACGTTGAAAAAGTTCTACTTTCTATATGCATTTTTATGTTTTGAATCCCCCCTGTATTTAGGGAAATGGTCCGATTTAAAAAAACAGTATGTCGAATGAAAGATCTATATAAATACTACTTCTCATAAAAAAATTGTAATGATTCATACATTTTTCAAAAAGTTATAGCATAATAAAGTTAAAAATGGAAAATACAAAATCGAAAATTTTCACACAAAAATAGCATTCGGTAGCCATTTTCACCATGAAGATAAGATAAAGTCCGAAATTTTTTTTTTTCATAATAAAGTATATTACATTAGCTTTAATTTAAGATATATATAAAAGTGTCAGACCTTCCGGAACATTTTCAAAAGTTAAGTTGAAAAAGTTAATTTTTTGTGAAAAAGTTGTCATTTTAAATCCCCCCTTGTGGGCAGGTTAAGGGTTAAATTTATGAAAAAAATATACCAAACGAAAGGTAATAATATTACACATCTATATAAAAAAGAATTATATTGATATGTTCATTTTTAAAAAAGTTATGTCACTTTTAAGTAAAAAAAATTGAAAAAATTTCGAAAATTAGCGATTTTTAAATTTGTAATTTTTTTGGAGGTTTCCCCCTTTTACGGGGAACGAGGGAATTTTTTTCAATTTTTAAGGGNCCCATTTACGGGGAACGAGGTCATTTTTTTCAATTTTTGAGGGTAATGTCTTCGACTAGATACAATTTGTGATCTTTTGACGTATCATTGAAAGAAATCGGTTCGGTGAGAGCTGAGAAAAAGTGGTAACAGACACAAAAAAAAAAAAAAAAAAACACATCTTAGTAAAACCAATACCTTTTCAGCTTCGCATCGAAGCTAAAAAAACACATCATAGTAAAATTAATACCTTCTCAGCTTGGCATCGAAACTAAAATAAGGTTGAAAGTAGTTCAAAAATATATATTTGTCATAAAATTTTTGTTGAAGTTATTAATCTTATACAACAATATAATAAAATAATTTTCGAAAAGAAAAAGATCAATTGTTACAAGTCATTAGAACAATAAATTATTTTTCTTTATTGAACACTTTTACCATAGTGCTAACAATATAAACAATTACTTTATATATTTTTTTGTAATTTCTCCATGAAAATTACAATACAAAAAACTGAATATCAAATTCATACTAAATTCGATTTCTATAATATGCATTTATTAATGTATTATACTTATATGCTATACAACTAGAAATCAGGATATAATTAAAAAATAGAAGTTGGCGTTACTTTTAGAATAAACCTATAACTCCTAAGAATTAAACACTAGCTACAGATTTATAACTGTGCCGTGACCTCTTGTGTTGAGATTTTTACAATAAAATTTTTTGATAAAATTAATCGACTTCACGAAATTATTTTTTAGTATTATTATAGATTCCCTTAATAGGTAATCTTGTTTGTAACAACATTATTAATATTGAATTTATAAGTCAAGATAATTAGAATTTATCTATTAAACCATCCTAATATTCCTTAAAAAGTAACAATGTTTTATCTTTTAATTCTGTCAGTAATATTTTGCACTCGCTGCCATTATTCTTCATAAAAATTTGAATTGTTTAAAATTAAATAATCTACAAATTTGCATAAAATCATGACTAATATTAGGTTTGTTAATCGTTTTTATATTGGTTAAAAGTATATCTAAATTTTAGCCACACTAGGTGGAGAAAATTTTACTTATTTGATCAATAAGCAATAATTTCTTTGTAATTTGGAAAATTTATTATAGATGATAAATCAATTATTAAAAATATATAAAATAATTTTTTATGGTAGCTTGATGATTGTTCATTCGACTCATATATGGATGATGGCACGGAAATAACTGGAGTAGTACAAGCACCTTCGCAGATGTATAAAATTGAAGTTCTTGATTCGTGGAAATCGATCAGAGGCCAAGTTTATCTATAATTTTGATCAACTGAATACAAAAACAACTCAACCCACATATTATCTTATAAAATTTACTTATTTAAAATTTACTTCGAGAATTTTTATTTGATTAAAAATAATCAGTTTCTTTCAAAAAAGAAGAGGTATTAGGGACATCTATTATCCCACTGTGTAACTATACTACAGCACATTGTGTCGATAATCAGACTGCCGAAAAACAGTCAGGCAGAGTACTGAGAAAATTATACAGCTACTTTAAATTTTAAATTATATGAACAATATGAATATTAATTAAAGAACTAAATTATCTTTGATTATTTTTAATTTATCGGCAACAACCGAAAATATACAAAAAGCTGAATAATATTTTGTATAAACCAAAAAAATTATTTAGTTTTATTCCAAACTTTTTAAATATGTGATGTATTAATTAAAGAAAAACCATTTATAATCTGATATGTCAACATACTCATTTACTGAATTATGCGATTTGATTTTATTGTAACTAAGTAATATTAAATTACCACTTTATTATATGTATACCACTTTTTATTTTATTGTATCAAATTAATTTGTATCTAAGTTAAATTGAAAAAAGAAATTAAACTTTTTTTTATTTAGATTATACTAAAATATTTATAATTATATTGAGTAATAAAAAAATTTCTTTTTAAAATCCATTTTACCAGATAAGTTTTAAAAGAAACAAATATTTAGTGTTTCGCCGAATTCAAAACGATTTAACTAATAAAAAATATTATTAACTAAAATAGTAGGATATAATACTTCGAAATCTTGTTGTTTTAGGTTAATTAAATTAAATTAAAATAAGTTCATAAGTTAATTTTAAATTGATTTTTCTTATTTAATATATTTTTCAATACTGAATAATAATTTTAAGTTATTATGGATTTTTATCTAGCATCTTAAAAAAATATTAATAAGCATATATTACTAGCAATAACCGATTCCGGTTAATTTAAAAGAAAGATAACTGGAACAACTTTTTTATTAAAAAATAGTTCTCATTAGTTTTGGGGAAAAAATGATTACCGGTTTCAAATCCTATCTTCAACATAAAAAAAAAGAAAGAAATTATTAATAATTAGGAAAACTTTTTTTTTTTAATTGATTATCTTCATTATATGAAATTAATTGTGAAACACCAATAATTATTGTCATAAATAAAATCTTCCTGACACAAATCATCAAAATTATCGATAGTTAACATTTTTTTTTTCATAATCATGACAAAAGTTACTTAATACATGGAATAAAATATACATTATGTATAGATAAATTATAATTCTTATTTAATTTAACAATTATTAATTAACTCTAAAAATAAAGATAATAAGAAAATTGAATTACAGATTTTTTAATCATTTGAAGTAATTAGACTAGAATAGTATATTGAGATAAAAATTAAGTACAAATTTGTTAAGTAACTTTAATTTTATAACCAAATCCCCTGAAAATTTTTAAAAATCTGTCACTAATACCATAAAATAAGGACCATCAGTTTGAATCTGTTTAAATTAAAAATAATGAAGAAATATCAAGATAAATAAACTTTACCGATAGATGGCATTACATTTAAAGCAAAAACCTATAGAAGCGCTACTATTGATGAGCGGTATTTTTGGTTGCAATTGTGTACTAGATGGTAAATAAATAAAAGGAGCCGGGCAACTTTTCTCATAATCAAATGGTTCAGTTAGCCAAGTCAATTTTCTTTTAGATACGTTACAAATGATTAAATAGGCTAAATTTTTAAGTTTTGAGCTATTTAACTATTTTAAGATATTTTTTCGATACACTTCAAACTAAAAACTTAATTGTACGATAAACTAAATAAGTGCGCGCGCATCATACGATTTGGAGCAGTGATAAAAGTGTAAAAAAAAGAAGTAGTACTTAAAATATTTTCGGGCGGGTCCGAGTGCATCGTTTCTGTGATAACAGTGATAAAGTTGTTCAAGCCACGATCGCGACCGGTCGTTACGTAACAGTATTCGATAATGAAAGTACTTAATAATTAAAACAATTATGAATAAACTTTATAAAATTATTCTTGTTAATACCTGTGACAGTATTATTAATTAATATATTTTATGTTGCGGGTCTGTTCGAGTGTTTAGAGTGAACGGATGCGCTTACACATTTTTTTTTTCATTTTGCCGGATCTGTCTCCAACACATACTATTAAAACCGGTTTTGTTTATTCTTGATTGGTTATGTGTTAAAATTTTTATGAAAAATAGTGATTTATTTTCATGATTTATAAATTGTGTATGATGTGTGTAAACTCTTAACACCTTTTTGAGTTTCTTGTTTTTACCACCTCTGTTGATCAGAACTCCATAATGTCAGCAGAATTGTTTGTGGTGAAACATGAAGGCAAGAAATACAATATTGAGCACTTTTTACGCTTCCATCCTGGTGGTACTAATACTTTAGCTGCTCTTAAAAATATTGATGTTACTGAGCGTTTAAAAGTTACAAATCATTCAGCTGCTGCATTTGAACTGCTTAAAGATTATAGAGTAGATGAACAAAATGAACGACAGCAAATCAGAGAAAATGGTGATCTAGAGGTATGTATAGTTTTGTATTACTTACTAATTTTTACTTTAATATTATATGTTATTATCTACTCTCTAGAGGTTATGTCAATCTCTGAAGTGTTGAAAAACTAATAGTTTTATTATGAAAAACCAACTTAATGAATTAAATTATTAAACTAGTCTTAAGAATTTAATAAATATATTAAAATGTTAAAAAATAATAATTTTACTATTAGAATAAAATATTGTTTTTGTAGTGTACATTTTATTGTATTATTATGAATTATAATGTAGGTTCTGATAAAGTCTTTGATTTATAGATTTTTTTTTTGGATATAGTATTCTAGAATATTATTTATAGATGAGTGTAGTGTGGTAGCAAAGGATGGTTTTACTGCCTCTGATCTATCTAGTATTATTGAGTTGGATAAAATACTTTTAATGTTAAATAGAGGAAATACATATTAAGTTTGGATTTATGGGAGAATTACCATATTTAATTAAAATTGTTGAATAATATTTATATTATGAAATTGCAATGTAATATATATTTCTTTAGTCTCTTTAAATATGACTTTTTAGATATGATTATGGTTTGTTAAAAGTCTGTATTCTTTTGACTATATATCAGAAATATATTCCTTACATCATTAGATTATAATAATAAAGTATTGAAATAAATTGGGATAAATAAGAAAAATGTTGTTCTATTAAAATTATATTCTTAAAATAGAGAAGCTTTTAAGATTAAATAAGACAAAAAAATTCAATTATTCGTGGCTACAATGCACGATTTGATTAATTTTTATTAGAATATGTATGAAATCTTGATATATTAAAATTTCCCAATCTAGCTCTATGCACTTATACTGTCATTAAAATAATAGTACAATTGGCTTATGTAAAATTTTTTTTTATTATCTGTTTAGGTTTAAAACTATTTTAGTTACTAACTTATCAATCATGTTTTAGAGTTGACCACTCTAAGTTTTATATCTATACCACAAGATAACTTATTAAATTGTATTTATACTTCTTATTCTTAATTTAGTTAATTAAAGAATTTTATTTTATGTAAAAAATAAAAATTTAAACATATTAGTATTTAAAACATTTTTTTGTATGTGGCAAATTTAAGTAATTAAATTATTAATAATTAAATTCATAATAATCAAAAACATATCTTATCATTTTCTATTTTGGTATTATTTATGTTGTCATCAGTTAAACTATACCATTCCATTTAGAAGATAAATTACTTAAGTATTTGCAAAATAGAGAAATGTATATATTAGTATGAAATATTAGTCTTATGAGAGTTGTTTACTCTAGATACAAAATTGAACCTTTAAACACTAGAACTTAACACAATCATTTTTTACTAAATTAATTTTACACAAATTTTTAATTTGTTGATAGATTTTTTCAGCACATTCTATTTTTGTAAAAAATGTACTAATTAATGAAAATAAGGAAATTTCACATGAAAAAAATGTTTAAATATTTTTAATACATTATTATTATTTATATAGAAAATTAATTGCTATAAATGTTATATTTTAATGTATTAGAATTTAAAAAGGGAAAAAATGTTCATTTGAATGTTCAAATTATATTATATTATTCATAATCAACATAATAGATCATGTTTATCAGATTTTCTAAGCCTCTTAAATTGATTTTTATAATTATTTGTTATAAAATGTTATAGATTTTATCTAATGTTAATAACTTGAATATTCTGAGATAATTTTAAGTAATGGTAGTTTTAAATTTAATGTAGCTATTGACTATTTCAAATATTTATATTCTAATTAAATGTTTGAGTTAAAACAAAAAAAATTGGTTAGAACAAATTTGAAGTCACATCAGTTAACACTTTAGAATTGTGAAATTCTAGATTTGATACAACTTTGTGAGTCATTAAATACAATATTACTAAATTTATATAAAATTCATAAAATGTCGTTAAAAAAAAAAAATAGATTGTTTAATAATATTACAGGATAACCTTGATAAGTTCAAGCTGGAGAGTTATTATTTTTCGACTTTGAGGTTTTTGAATTACTAAACGTTTTGTGTTATCATTATTGGTGAACTTTTATAAGCATTTTTCGACTGGTAATTATTATAAAAGTGTTATGCATTACTAAACTAGAAGCCAATTGTTCTTAATTTTATTTAAAAAATTATAAAAGTTTAATAATACTTATTATGTTAGAATTTCATAGTAACTTAATGTGACATACAGTGCCGTATTTCAGTTTAGGTAGACATGACAGCTGTCTAGGGCCCAAATTTTTAGAGGGTTATCTTGATATGTGGGATAGTAATTTCTTTTCACAAATAAATACATAAAAATGTTTTATCTAATATAGTATTAAAAAGGGTATTGGCGTATTTATGAGAGTCAAGACTCTCCCATACTATCAACATACAATTATGGTAGTTAGGAAAAGAAAATAGGTAAAGCTTTTTTAAATTTGAAGACGTAAAGTTCTGAAAGTTATACGAACATCTCTTATTGCAAATTTCTAAAAAATGCCACTGAAGAGAAACACTGATTTGTTAACTGCTTAAGGTCTCTGAGACTTCAACGAAGCCTTGGCAATTTCTTGAGAAAACGCGATTGTATTTTTGTTTTTGTTTGCTACGTATCGGTTGTTTGAAATACACGCGAATCGCTTCAAATAATAAATAAAATCGTTAAACTAAAAATACATATCCATGTGCATTTAATATACTTGCGGTTAAAAACAAGTTCGCCGGATTTCATATAATTGTTACGTTATAAATTTTAATATCTTTCTTGTGAGTACTCTTACAAATTGGGATGAATATTGTGTTTTTTTGTATTTAGAATTATTTTTTATTTCTCAAACTTTCAACTTCATTGTGTTCTTTGTCTTTCGATATTTATTACTTGATTGAATCACTCGTCTATTATTGATCCTAGCATATCAGATATTCATTAATTTGTACGATGTATGAAACAAGACTTTTCGCGTGTTATTTGGTGCGTGTTTATTTTCATCATTAAATTAAATATCGAAATACTCATGTATTAGCCAAATATATAATTTTTTTTTTTTGATAAACGAAACAATTAGTAACAATGCGGAATATATACTTTTTGATGGGCCATGTCGTTCAGATTCTTCTACTATAAGAATAACTTTTTCTTTATTTTTTTTTGGGGGGGGAGGGATAATCAAAATGTTATAATCCTCAAGAATATATTATTGTATAATAAATATTATGAATTGTACATAGTGGCTTATTTACTAGATCCTAACAGTCCCTTCCTATTGATACAAAACAATGATAGTGATAATAATAACGATGTCCTCTACAAAAATCTAACTATAAAAAAGACCAAGTTTCAACATCCTCCATCCTGAAAAGACTGCCTATCAAAGTTGTAATATATACATTATGGGCAAGTTGCTTTTTCTTTAATTCATTAGCTGCTATTCTACGTTCATTTACTCCTTTATTTATATTGCCTTACAAAGAATATTGGAACTTGGTCCTCTTTCAAAGTTAGGTTATTGTTGAAGATAAAACTAAATGTAAAATCCATCCCCGTGTTTAGTGATTTATGTTATTTACGTATAATTATGTTATTTTGGATTGAAATTGTTCTATTTTAGAAATATTTATATTTATTGTAATTGCGTTGTAGATTATTTTTAAATTAATTTTAATCTTTGTTAGATATTCTCGTATCTTCTCTATTTTTGGTAATTTAAAATTTTACACTATTTAAGAATTTTATATTCATTTGTTCTCAGACATTAATTTTTTTACTTATTATAGACAACATAGAAATAATTTGTAAATTAATTAGCTAGATATATTTTTAATTTATTACATCAAAAATGTTGGTATAATAAATTTACTGATTTATGAATAACAGATTTATTATAGATAGATCAGATTTTTCTAAAAGTAAAAATATTAGAAAATATATTTTGCCTTTTTTTAGCAATATATATTTTTTGGTATATAAATTATTGTTTATTTATTTTTGAATGACAATATATTAAATAATATAAAAATCCATGGGTGTTTTAGAACCTAATAATATATTGCAAAATGTAATTATATATTGAAAATAAAATAAAAATATATTTTTGAAGCATATGTCACATAATTTTTTTTTTACAGTCATCAACCATTATTATTTTATATTTGCAAAAAATAGTTAATAACACGCAATATGACGTTATTCATTTATCAATGTTTTTTATCAATAAAAATATGTTACTAAATGTATTGACCCCTTAAAAATCCTTCTCTTTCATTGTTAGCTTTTGAAGTAACCATGAAATATTACAAATACATGTTATTATCTACAATTTAATTTTGAGTAATAATACTCCAAATTTTAATTTTAAATGTGTATTTTTTTGATAAAAAAAGTTATGGAAAAAACTAATTAAAAAGTAATTGTTGTATATAATGTACATATAATTGTATATAGTCCTTAGATTTTATAAAAAAAACTAATATTTTATTGTATTGACATTGTCAGTTTTTGCTGAAAAAATTTCGTTTTTTTAAATTATGGTCCTCTTTTCATAGTTGTTTACAGCAATCATTAAAAAAATAAAAAAAAAAATTAATTTTAGACTAATTGTAATTGTACATTTTCAATATCCTTTTTAAAATATATTAAAAAAATATATAGGACTCTCACTCAATACATCCATTTATGAAACTTAAACCAAGTCTGACTTAAAGGTTTATTAAGTCCAGGGGAAAAATAATTTAGTAAAAAATACAATCTATGTCAATTTTGTTTTTAAGTGCGAACCCCTAACTTAACCAAAATAGTACCAGATCTTGCTGTCAAACACAAGAGTTACCATCGGGCAAAATTAAAAATTGCTGAAGTAGATTTTGAAATATGTATTTTAATCTCGGTTAGATTTCAGTCTACATTAGTTTCATATAAGAGTCAATCTGTATTAAATTTTTAGAATTTGTAAGAAAAATTATGGAAATGTTTATCACTTAATATTTAGCAGTATATGTATAAGCAAATTTCCATTTTTAATATTAAAGTAATTTTTTTTTAATAGTCACCCCAAAAAATTTGTAAATTTAGCAAAATATTAGAAATATTGAGCATCCTTATACAAATATGAATATTAGAAAAATATATAATTAAAAAGATTTTATAAACTTTAAAAAAATTATCAATATCAATTAGATTAAAATTACTCATACATAGCACAATTTGTTAATCACTTTCAAAGGCGTATGCAATTTTTTCCTTCTCAGTAGGTAAACAGCGTTGATTAGAGAGAAGTAAAAGGTAGTGCTCGGGCACTACCTTTTTCTCCTGCTAATGCGAGAAAGAAAAAAACACTTCATATATTTATGTAATATGGTCAAACCTGAATTAGCTTAAAAATGTAATTGTTGCATATTTATGCTAAAGAGTAAGAATTACTGACTCATAATAAATACAAATAATTGGTATCATGAGATCTATATATTGCAAAGAATTGTGAAACACGTTAATATAAATTTTCGGTTATTTAATATTTTTAGTTTGAATAATTTTTTTTATTCACTGTACAATTATTTTTACTGAAATCATCATTATCATTATTAAAGTCATGGTCAATGTAGTAGTATTATAGATTGAGATCATATTAATCAGCCATGCATTACTTGTAATCGTTATAACATAATAACGGAAAAGGAAATTTAGTTACATAGTCCTTGACAAAGAAAAATTTTGTTATACAAATAAATATTTTTATTTTTTATATAAAGGATAGGAATTTTTATTGATGTGTATTTCTTTTTAAGTAACTCCTTTAGACGTGAAAATCACATACCTTTGTAGTTAAACAATAAATAGTTAGCACTACGTACTAATTATTTGTTATTCTTACTAATTTTTATTACAGTCTATGAGTAAGACATTTAAAGTTTCGACAACTTGCCTGCTATACAACTGTTATCCTTTTTAACTCGAAATTTATAAGATTATACAAAAAGCAAATAATATTACAACGAAATTTTTCTAAAAGCAGTTTGTAAATGTCTTATTATGCATTTTGAAAATTACAACCAAGCCATTATTCGATTGTATTTCATTTTAAAATTATGTTTCAAAAACTAACTTAATGGTTATATCAATAAACATGTCAAATTTTACTATATATAATACGTTTTGAAATAGATTCTTAAATGTGAAATAATTGCTTTTGGCTTAACACCATTCAATTATCTATGTTAATTTAACTTTTTCTATATTCTTATTATAGACTAATTATATAAACTAACTTTTACGAGACAATAACTAATCAGTTTACTGCTGAATAGTTCATCTTTTTAATTCATTTTATAAAAATTTATGATCTGAAAATTGAGAAAAGTAAATAAGAGAAATTACAAGTTTTAGCTCTTATTTTCCCAAAATTATTATTAGTTTCATATTGTCTATCAAAACTGAGATGTTTATATAATTTTAAAGATGCTTAGTGTTTTAAAATTATTAGTCAGTTTTACTGGAAAGGATTGCTTTTTGTATTACAAAAATATTGACAATAATAAGAAACAATTGAAAATTTTAATTTGTCTTTGATTTCTTTAACAATTGCTATAAGTGACATATCTTTTATAAAATAGCCACAGAACTATTATTTGAGTCGTTTAGTTTAAAAAGGACAAGTTAACTTACAAATAGACAGGTAAAAGTAAAATTATATATAACAATTTTTTTTTATACATACAACTTTTTGCAACTGGACGACTCATTTATTAACCTATTCACTGATCAAACTGTATTAACTGTATGCAATCTTTTAAATTGTTGTTATTTTTCGCTATTATACTATATAGCATTATCATAAATAATACTCCGTAATAGAGACCAAAAGTTAAATTCTAAAAATAGTTTACTAACCATTTTATAAATCTTAAAAATAAACTTATTTTAAAAATATTTGTTTTATAAGTATGTTAAGTTTAATGACTGTATAATCATAATCTGAAAGAGTTTTAAACTAAAAATTATTATTATATTTAATATAATAATATATATAATTCATACATAATTTGTACGAATTATAGTTAGATACATATTATGTATGTACTTATTTACAATATGTATAATACAGATGAAAAGAAAATATTCGGTGTAATTACTTAAGATTCTATAATTTTTATTTCAGAGTCTTGTTGACTGGAAAAAACCAATGTTTTGGCAAGTAGGATCATTAGGCCCAAAATATAAAGAATGGGTGTTAGCGCCTGTAGACAGAAGACTGAGATTATTTGGTTCTGATTTCATTGAATCGCTCACCATTACATCATGGTATATGGTGCCATCAGTTTGGATTCCTGTAATGTTATGTTTGATATATATCGGTTACCAAAGGTTAAAGGGTTATACGCAAGCAAATAGTTCTATCGAACAATTTTCCACTTATGGTAACTACAACTTTATTAAAAATGTTTTTACGCATGATTATAAGTACGGAGTTTTTCGGTTACAAAAAGACGAAATTCCTAAAAAAAATTCGTCTTAATTTTTTGGACTTTTGCAATTGGATGATTCAAATGCACAGTTGAAATATTGTAAAACATTTAATTGGATTGTTTTTGGATTATATTTAATTTTTCTAGTAACTTTTGTATGTGTTATTAGATATTTTTAAGTGTCTATTAATAAATTATTAAAGACTAGGCTTCGCCTAGCTGGGGCACTACGAGACACCTTCGGCGCATAAGTCTCTTTGGGCCGTCTTTATAAGTAAGCCACTGATACCGGTAAGAATACGGTAAAAGAGTTTTGCAGGAATTATATTACATCAGAATTAGTGTAACAAAAATATATTACATTTTAATTATTAAAATCAGGAAAATTCAAAAATAAAAAATGTATTAGGTATGATATTGACGTTTGTTACTGAGGTATTCATTTGTGGCGTATTCAGAATACATACAGAAGTTCATTAGAGCCATATTTCTTAGAAATTACTTAAAAAAAATATTGATTGCACTGGTTCAATGGATAGCCTATATCCCACTTAAATACGCCCTTCGTATACACAATAATTAATAATATTGTAATTATATTTTGTTATTATGTTATTGGGCAGGTCTGGTGAAAATTTTAAAACGCTTGTGGGTGAGTGGCAAAATCTTTCCTATCTTCGCCAATAATTTTACCGGAGTCTCGTGACTGAGTACTTTAGTTGAAAAAAAAAAAATTTTTAAATCTGAGCACACTAAGTTCGTTAAGCACAAAAAAGCGTTTTCTTTCTTGTTCTATTGAAAACATTTTTTCTGTAAAATGATATGTTGAACTTTTTTTATACTTTAGGTTCTTTTTATTTACTGATACTTAGATAGAAGTTGTACTAAAAAAAGTAATAAAAAAAAAATTGGCGACTATGTGTGTTTTGTGTATAAGTGCCAAATCATTCAATTCAAGAAGACGGGATATTGCCAACCGAGCGTTTTTAGGTCATGACGTCATTTTATGTTTTAATTTCACTTGTAAATCAACGAATGCAAAAAATAAAAAATTCAGTAAAACGTAAAAGATTATAATTTCTAATACATAAGTTAATTTTTCTTGTTATAAGGTTATCGTAAAACAGAGTTTCTGACATTAAAATTGCTAATTAAATTACAGAACTTTGACTGATTATTATTAAAATTATAAATAATTTTTTAAATACTATCTTATAAGTATTAATAATATTCAAATCGTAAACATAATTTTGATTTACATAGTAGTTATACCTATTTGATTTATCTTTAAATGATAGAATAAACTTGTCCAATTATAATTATCAAATTAAAATATTGACTTGAAAAATTCTCAACAAAAAAATGTTTTTTTTTTATCATAAAGAAGGTTTTACTAAGTAACAAATATTAAAAAATAAATTAAATAAAACTTATAATAACTAAATTTTAAAAAATTTTGAAAATGCTTGATTACAAATTTATTTAATAACTTTTAGGTGTTAAATTAATATAGTTCTTGTGTTTCCTTCATAATTTTTTGAATATGTCCTTTTTTAACTCACCAGTTCTTGTAAATAATTTATATTTACGAGGGATTCGTTTATCATAAACCACTTATTCAAAAACTAAAAATAACAGTGAGATTTCTTTTTTTGTATTTTTAGGTACATGTTTTAGCTTCGATGCGAAGCTGAGAAGGTATTGGTTTTACTATAATGGGGTTTTTTTTTTTTGTGTGTGTCTGTTACCACATTTTCACATTTCTCTGCAAACCGATTTCTTTTAATGATACGTCAAAAGATCACAAATCGTATTTAGTCGAAGAAATTACCCTCAAAAATTAAAAAAATTTCCCTCGTTCCCCGTAAATGGGGGAAACCTCCAAAAATATTATCATTTAAAAATCGCTAATTTTCGAAATTTTTTCAATTTTTTTTACTTAAAACTGCCATAACTTTTTCAAAAATGAATAAATCAATATAATTTTTTTTTAATATAGATGCTTGATGTCTTTACCTATCATTTAGTATATTTTTTTTATAAATTTAACCCTTTACCAGCCCACAGGGGGGATTCAAAGTGACAACTTTTTCACAAAAATTTTACTTTTTCAACTTAACTTTTAAAATATATATAGAAGTCTAACACTTATACATATTTTTTAAATTAAAGCTAATGTAATGTACTTTATCATGGGAAAAAAAAATTTCGTACTTTATTTTGTCTTCACGATGAAAATTGCTACCAAATGTTTTTTTTGTGTGAAAATTCTCGATTTTATTTTTTACATTTTTAACTTTATAATGATAAAACTTATTGAAAAGTGTTACGATCAACACAATTTTTTTTATGAGAAATAATATTTATATCCTTTTTTCATTCAACATACTTTATCTTAATCAGGATATTAATAAGGAAATAGCAGATCATGTAGCTTTTGTAATAATCCACCAATTTTTTTTAAATTAAACACTATCTAAAGATTGCATCGAAGCGTTTTTTTTTTATAGTAATTTTAATCATTGACAGATATCATTATACTTGACCCAACTATACCACTTCACCACTGTGCCGCGACCCTCCTGTGCTGGGTTTTTTAATTTATCAATAATAAAATATTTATTATCTTCATCCGTTATACCCAATAATGGTGTCAGCTTTGTATTTTCAAATCGCAACGTCTATAACTAGTTTATTTAATTTCATCAGAAACTGTTCAATAACAACATCTGAATCAGTAATTTAGAAGCTATTAACATTTTATAGTGATGACTGTTGATGAGACGTGTGTATTGTTATTTTTATCACTTATCATTTACCGGTCATATTCTTCCATCCGCTTAATTATAAAAATATCAATAACTACCGACATACTGGTCCAAAAGTTGTTATCGACCAATAATTTTCTTAAGTAGATCATTATCTATTAAATAAATAAGTTATTATAAATGTTGCCATTTGAAAATATAAAGTTGATACTTTTATAATAGGTTAACATAAAAAATACTTCACGATTGATAAATTAAAAAAAACATACCTACAAGAAACCAAATAAAAATATCATGTTATTATTTTCATATAATTATTTATTTCCGTTTTAAAATTGTAAATATTAATATTAGCTTAATTGAAAAATTATAAGATTTTATTTTTTTAATATGTTATTATAGTTTAATTGTTTTTTTTTATTTTGTAAACAATACGTTAGCTACTTTTCAAAATTGCGAAAAAATTTTTATTTTATATTTTAATATTATTTAATTTATATATTAATACTGAATTTTTTATTTATCTCTTACCAATTTTATCAGATTTTTTCTAAAATAAGAAGAATTTTGAGAACGTTTTTTGGCTTATTTAAGTTGTTTTTATTTTTTTAACTATAAATGGTTGAATTTATAATATATCCTTTCCACCATCTTTTGGAAACAACTTAATTTTCTTAATGGAAACAAACAGTTTTAACTGGATTATTTATTAAAAATGATCTAATTAACGAAATTACTGGTGGATTATAATTTTTAAAACATTAGTTCAGGAGTAGTGAATATTTTTATACTTAGGTGAGAGAAGTAGCAGGACAGAGAAATGTTCAATGATAAAAATAAGATAACCCAAACCTTACCTCAAGTTTACATTTAAAATATGTTAATAACTTCTGAGGTACTGGTTGTTATCGACCAGTAATTTTTTTAGTTAAATAATTTTCTGTTGTTTTATTTTCAACTTCAGTGGCCGTGTAGGCCTATTGCTTTCTATTGTTTTAACAAATTTAATATGTATGTAGCCGTTTAAAATTTTTTGTTTAAATCCTTATAAAGAATAAATCTAAAAATATTTTAACCACTTATATATCGTGAAAAAACTAAAGAAAATGAAAACAATTTTTTTCGAATTATTATTTTAGGATAAATTTAGTGGTCAATGATAAATCAGTTACTCTGTATATATTTGTTATTGATCTTGAAATAATGAGAATAATAGAAACCGTTTCCTATCTTACTCTTAAAACACTCTGTATATGATTGTATTTATTCTGATATAATTTGTAACTTAATATATAATTCGTTATAAAATAATCACATCTACGTAGTTCAAAAACCAATCGATGAAAAACGTCATCTACAACCTTATACTCTTGCGAATAATATTTAAACTCATAATATACGAGTTTCCAAATTATTCTGGGTCGTGCTTAATTTAATAAACTTAATTTATTTATTAAATAGGAAATTGAAATGTGTGAGATTAAGTATATTTTTTATGTTTTATAAAATAAAAAATGAATTTAGGGGTTTTAAACTGTTTTTTAACATTTATTTTATGACCCATTAATTTGTTTAGGTTAAAAAAACCTGTTCATTTTCCTCCCTTCGCAATGTTTATTTTTATATCACTTTACGATTGAACGTAGAAATTCTTCAAATATTATAAATAACTCAATGTTTTGTGTTATTTTTTAATATTATTCAAACATGTTTTGATGGCGTATTCCATTTAACAGGTTCAACAGGTTTTGTTATCCCCTCTCAATTTCTCTTTTTTTACGTTCGTTTAAAAATATACAGATGCGCATATTTTTATATAAATACGCCAATTTTAAGCATTTAGCCTTCATATACATACACCTAATTATAAAATTAGTAACCAATGCTTAAGATATTATTCTCATAAATGTCTAAAAGAATATTTTTACTTTAATAAATCCATATTTGCACTATATTTAATTAATGAAACGAAATACCATTGCTACCTCCGGTCAATGTACAATTTAACTTGAAAATTTTCAGGGGTGACAACATAGTTTAGCCTTTTTCCCACTGTAAGACTAGAAAGAAATCGTGGAGTGCTCTGTTGGCGTCTCGACGTGGCGCCTGTCTGGCGGTTCGTATGGCGGCAGACGCCAAGTCGCCTACAATATACTGTTAACCGGCCACCGTACTTCAACACCCCTTTTCATACGCTATCCACTTTACACTTCCCCTTTGCTTTCCGTGGTAGCAGTATCGATCGCGTCTAATGCCGTACGGCACTAACCCGACAGACGCCGACGCGGCTGTCATTATTTTTTTATTGTAATGTGTATAAGTATACGTATGTTGATATCTGGTCAATATAGTAGTAGTACTTGCCTCAATAAAAACATACTTAACCCTTTATGAAGAAATATTATGACAAAACGAGACAATTTGAACTTCATTAAAACACAAAGAAATATTTTTTTTGTTTTTATACAATTTTAAAAACAAATTAAAAATCCTATTATAATTATTTTTGTATTGCATTTATATTAATTTATAGTTAGCCTACTAGTTAACGAGTAGAGCATCATTGCATCAAGAAATTATATCTAAAAATAAGATAATGGTTGTTCTCCTTAAATAAGAGAAAGTAACGAAGTTCAAATAAATTTTATTTTCTTTGAAATCTGAATTCTTATTCATTATTCCTATTTAATAATATGACAATAAGTTCTCATATAACAAACCACAAAATACGAAATTGGTTGTAAATTTATTCGTAACAAAGAAGTATGATCTTCGGTATTAAAATAATATTAAAGAACAAAAATTTAACTTGAAATCTTCTATAAAAGTCCTTATAGTATAGTATTTTAATTAATTTTTAATGAAATTAAACGTATCATAAATAGGTTATAATATATTAAGCTCATTTTTTTACTAAATATGAATTAATTTCTTAGTAAAACTTATGTTTGATCATAGGCATTTTTACGACTTAAATTTTCAGCTGAGCTCAGTCACGTATTTTAGAGGAACGCGTGCACTGTACTCTTATTGACCATAACATGATATAAAAATACTTATTGAATTTTTATGATTATAATTAGCTGAAAATGGATAAAAAAAAATCTTCATAGTATATTGTAAATTTTAAATATGCCCTTTCTCGAACCTTAAAAGTATTAATGCGTTAATACTTGAACAACGTCTCTACTTAAGAGTAACCTGGGAGAAACTTTGCATATAAGGCTACTCCTCTCCCGCTCAATATCATATCAAAGTTATATGCATTGTTAGACAAATTATACTATGTTCCTTAAAAATTTCCAGTTGACCCTAAACACTGTCAGCACACTCCGTACACAAGCTTACAAATCAAAACCTACCAATCTTATTATTTTAATTATGGACATTATTAATATTGTTTTAGTTCCAATTAGAAACCAATCTTTTATTAGTACAAACTGATAAAATTATTGAAGAGCATCCTATTATTTCTACAAAACAATAGGTGAGGGGCTTGTAAGACTTCATAAAAAAAAATGATTCCAAAATAAGAATATTCTCTTATTATAAACAGTTGAAATTTTTTAGTAATTACATCATATATTATGATTAACTTATATTAAGTAGAAGCTTGACATTTTTTATCGTTAAGTTTAAGTTTTATAAGTTTAGGAGTGTTAATAATTGTACCCATCAATTTTATAATTTTTAAAACTTGTGGTTTAATGGTTGAAACAAACTTGACATTTGCTACATTTCACTCTCTTTCAGAAGAGTAATTTCAAAAATTTGAAGTGCATTAATATGTATTAAATATAATTAGTTCAATCAGCATTCAAACAGCTAAATATAGAGTTTAGATAATAAATTGCTGAGCTATACTTTTTCTTTAGGGTTTCTGAAAATGGATACAACTCAGAAACATCATTTTTCGAAGTATGATGTTGCTGAAATGAGAAAATGTCTGTCTTACGACATTTTTTTTTTTACTTCTATACTATATATATTATATATTATTATATATATATATATATATTTATTCTTTATAAATTGCTTATTAGAAATTAATAAAAAAAACTTTAAAAACTTTTTATTAATAATATTATGTTAATTTTATTTTATTTTGTTTCAAATATTTTTTGCAGATTACTTATCGTTAGGAACATGCGTCGTGTATTCTACTGTATTAGGTCTTCTTCTTTGGCCACTTATAGAATATACTATTCATCGCTGGCTATTTCATCTACAACCGCCTGATAACTCGCCACTACTTATTACATTACATTTTGGCATTCATGGACTACATCATAAGGTATTGTTTTATTATTCATTTTAAAATACTTTTTATATTATATATTTATATTAACAAGAATTGAGCATAACTAAACCCAAACATGTTTTATAGTCATTTTATGAAATTCATAAAACCTAATGAGTAATAATTATAAAAATCTACGTAATACTACGTTAAATTCGCAATTTTAGTACTTGAAATTGCGTAAATTGCGCTAATTATTATTACTATACCTTATATACTATACCTTATCGTAATGTCATGCTATCCAAAATTCAGTAATTTATGGGAGTTCTAAAAGCGTTAATGACAGGGATTTAGCCACTACGTCTTTTTGCAGATTACAGCCATTGTTATAAATATTATGTTTATTAGCTATATTAAATATTTTAGCATTAAGGATAACAAGGACAAAAAAAAAAATCTGCGGTTTACATTATTTAGATGGATTCCATGTGAATTTTGCTACTGATTACAAATTTGATTTCAGATTTCTTCCATCGTATCTAGTTTCTGAGATAATTGCTAATTAATAATTAACACTCAGAAAAAGATAAGAATAATTGTTTTTTCTTGAAACTCGCCAAATATGTTATAAAAGAATCGTGCAAAATTTTAATAGCAAGTTTAATCTTTTTGTTAGGCTTTTATATTTGATAGTATTACACTTGATAATACTTATTTATTTATCAGAAAATTAATTTGAACTTTTTATTATAATTTTTTTATTTAGCTTATTTTGGTTATGAAATATTAAAAATATGAAAATTAAATAGATAATTATGAAACTGTTATTTTTTTGTTTTAATGTGTAATTAAAAACCAACATAATTGCTATTCATAAAAAAAATTGCGTAAATCTTAAAATTTTGTAAAAGGTTATTTTAGCTACGATGGAAACTAAGAAGGTAATAATTTTTTAATTACTTTTTCTTTTGTGTTTGTCATTAATTTTTCTTAGCTCTCACTAGGCCTATAATTTTTTTAGTATACAATTAACAATGGCTACTTAATTTTCATTTTTATTGTTTTCTAAAAATATATCATTTACATCCTTGAATAAGACCTAAACGTTATTTTCAATATTTGTGATGCAGTTTAAAAATTTATTATCCTTTGTGGAAATTTTTTTTAATTATAAATAAATAGCTTATATAATTATTTTGTAAATGAGGATGCTTAACTCCTCCTCATATATGCTTATACTATATGTCCTAAAGTATAGGCATAACAAAAATGAAATAGAAAATTATTACCCAAAAGTAACATTTCTTGTTTAACTTCGGCAGTATTTGCACAAAAAAGATAATGTACTAAAACACTTTTTTAAATTAAATATATAATTTTTAACTATTTTAAATGCTATTAAACTATGAAATTAACTAATAATTAAGAATGTGGTAGTTAAATTTTTTTTTTTTTTGCGAGAAACGTGTACTCATTAAAATTTATCATGTACTGTTTATTAACAGGTACTGTGACAATTTGAACTTGGTCACGGATTTTAAAATTATAACACTAAATATATTCTAATCACGATTCATCTTTTATGGCTATTATAGTCATCTCATTTTCTATTTTATTGGCTTATTTGCGCTATTCTTTCTTTCTTAACTACACAATGTGTGTAATAATTGGTGACAAAAATGAATTAATTTGAAGTAGTGAACATAATTAAACTATGTACACAATCAATGTTTTATAATATATAAATATATGTCTGTCATCATATTACTAATAGAGAATACGGAGTATACCCATTTACTATTTGGCATTTGATGTAACTTTGATAAATATATAAGGTATTCAATAAGTTTGAATTCATTCAATTCAATTAAAGTAAATAAAGTACAGTAGCGATCTAGTAAAGTGGATTTGAGGTGTTTTTTTTTATATTAGTATTGATTGATATCTGACAAATATTAAAATTACTGTCGTAAAACACTTTGATGCACGTTTTAAAACATATAAAAAGAAAATTAATATATCTATCAAAAATTACATGGTTTTAGACTTTAGAGGGTGTTTTATTTTTTTAATCATATAATATATTTAATAAGCTTTAATATGATATAATTTAGAATTATGAAAGTATTCCGTTACTATACTAAATATTACAAAATTGGACATATTTTGAAAATAGTATGATTATTTGCATCAATAAATTCGGATAATTTTTCTTTTTTCATCTTAAGTACATTATATTATCATTAATTATAGGTATGTCTATAAAAGGTAGGTTTTTTAATTTTGATTTCCAAATATGCATGTGGGCAGGTAAAGGGTTAAATTTATAAAAAAAATATATCAAATAACAGGTAAAGACATCATGCATTTATAAAAAAAAAAGTATATTGACTTGGTTATTTTTAAAAAAGTTATAGCAGTTTTAAGTAAATAAATAAATAATAAAAAAAAAACACATCATACTAAAATCAATACCTTCTCAGCTTCGAATCGAAGCTAAAAATTTTAAAAATCAAAATTAATTGTTTTATGACTATTGTATACTTTTGGGATATTTCTCATTATTACTGGGACTAAGGATAATTTTTCAAAAATTACTGCTAATACATTCAACCAGAAATGTATTGTGATCATTAGACATTTTGTTGAATAAAATTGATCCAGTAAGAGCGGTATAAAAAGAAACACGACAAAGTAAAATCATTAGCTTCCTAGCTACGCGTCGATGCTAATAATCTATTAATTTTAAACAAAAATTCTTCAAGGCCAAATATATAAAACGCACCTTTTAAAACTAAATCTATAATAGACTTATTTTTAAGGTTAAGTTGAAATTATTAAAATAAAAAGGTTCAATTCAATGACTAACTTATCTATACTTTTTTTTTAATTCACGTTTTAAATTTTCTAATAGAACATTAATTTTTTAATTCATTTTGATCTGATTACTAGACTACTCAAAAAAATGGGATTATTGTACTTGGTCCTTTAATTATAATCAAAGAGTCCAACTACCAAATCAATTATTAAATTATTCAAAATTAATAGTACATACATTGTTTTTTTTATGTCATATAATTATTTTATTGGAGGATCCCTGACAACCAACTTAGTAAAGGATAATCAAACTTGTATCTTCATAATTTATTAAATAATTAATAATTTTTTCATTATGTATAAATATATGATATGATAAGCAAATTTTCTTATAAAAAAAAAGTTATTTGCTGTGTAAAAGATCATGCATTACGCTGAATTTAATTATATTAATAAAAATCATGTTATCGATAGAATACCAATGGGTTGAGTCATCAGCATTAAAATAAACGATCTTTGCATGGTGATTAGTTAGTATTTATGAGGTGTACCAATTGATTCGGTTTCTTAAATAATTAATAAATGTAAATATACTTGTAGTTTAATCATTTCATTTAGGGATCTCTTTATTTAACATTAAAAACCAACTATTTTAATTTAATCAATTTAATCAACATTTTATTTAAAATAATAATTAATTTTCATAAATAATTTTCACTGTAATAACTTATACCTAAATTAAATACTTAATAATTATTTTTCAATTTTATAGATTTTATTAAAAAAATATATATTTAGGATATTATTTAAAAAATAAGAAAACAGGTAGAACTACTTTTTTAGGAAGTTTTCTTTTAGTCATTTTTAATACTTGAGATATTTAAAATATCAAATATTATAAACAACATTTTTTTTGTACTATTTTAATGTGAAACTTATTAGAGGTTGACTGATATATTTTTAAAATAATAAAATTAAAACATGTAGATTTAAAAGAAAATTCATTTTTTAACTATTAACATTCTTTTTAATCTTTATAGAGTAAAATAAAAAATACAATCTAAAAACTTTTAGTTGGTTAAAGTGCTGAGTCGCTCATTTTTTTAATAGCCGTTTTAAATATTTCATACATTTTCGCTTATATCTAATATAAACATGTACATATTTAATGGAAACTTTTTATTTGGCCACTAAAACAATTGTTATAATTTAAATAACAAAATAAAAATATTATAATGACAAAAATCGGAATGGGCTGTATATGGTGAGAACCTGATGTTGTGGTTCTATCGGAGTCATGTGGTTTGAGGGTTTATAACGACAAAGACAAGTAAATATACAAATAATAGAAGCAATACCTCTAATTGAGGTGTAATAAATTTTTGTCTGGTTAGTTTCTAATGTCCTACCTCAAAGACAACCAAACGGCGGAGCCAGTTCACGAATACCATATAACGTGATTATGTATAATATTTTAACCAACCAGTCAAAATTATCACTTTAAGATATTAATTTAATATCTTATTTAATGATCTATTGCTTTGTCATCCTCTACTCAGATTTATTAACTCTAAATAATTTGGATAACATAAATTTACTTACTCCTTTTTTTGCTACAATGAATTGTAAATTAAAGACAATCCGATAGTCCTTCTCATATATAGAGGTATCAAATTCGTCACGAAATAATAAGTCAAAACAAATTTTTTTCGTATGTATGTAAACAAGACGCATAAAAAGATAGTCCATAACAACACGGGGTCATAGCTAACAATTGTTTTCTTATTTGAATTCGGCAAAAGCGAACTGGTGTCTGAAAGGATTTCAGTGTTTTTTATAGTGTGTGATAATATCCCCAATCCAGGGATATTGTTGTCAGCGCGCTTTTAGTGATCTTTTTAGTTTATTGTATCTAATTATACATTACATAATTATTATATTGAGATAGGATATTTAACAATGAATAAATTGACATATATATATATATATATATAATAAGAAATTATGTTGAATAGTGTACATGTTATAAAAGTTATTTGTTTGTTTACAAGTAATATAAAATACAAATTATAAATTTTTCATTGATAATTATCAATTACATTATAATATATAATGTAATACGTATATGCCATGCAATTGGCGTGATACGACACAATATTACCAAAATGCATCATAGGCTGTAAATTTATAGAAGATTTTCAATGTTTCTTAAGTTATTTAAGTCCTAGCCTTGTTTATTATTTCAATATGATGTTTCAACTGATCATTTATACATTTTATAAATCTAATAAAATATTATTGAACTAATTTATTTTATTATAAGGTGCCATTTGATGATCGAAGGTTATTATTTCCTCCGGTACCAGCAGCTGTACTTATATCATTTGCTTATGGTATTTACCTAATGTTATTTCCACATTGGATGGCGCCAATGGTACTGGCCGGTATGATAGCAGGTGAGTAATAATAAATTTATTATGAGTACTATTTTAGAGTAGTAGAAAAAATTCTGAAAAATGAGCGTTTCTGAACTTATTAATTTCTATGCTTAAACTTTAAGCACCTACAGTTTTATAAAAATTAAACATTTTAAGATTAAGAGCGATATTTATAATTCATCCTTTTTTATTAGCTATGTTTTAACTATCTAAATTACATGCTATAAAATATCTTGAAAAAAAGTTAATTATAATAATCAACTTAAATAAGACCCATAGTATTTATTTTTATATCTTAAAAATTCTTTAAATTAATAGTGAAAAATGGCTAATATGGCTAATTAAAATCGAATTGATTCTGTTCCTGAATGACACGAATGGACTATTCAATTATCCCAAATCGTATTCACATTATCCGTGTAAAATAAAAGAAACTCGGAAATGGATTTATTATACAATTTTTCATCAGGGATTTCAAAACTAATATTTTTGTAATGTAATTTTAAATAATTTTATCAGAAATTCTTCAAAGTATAAATATTTTTTACTGATATATTAAGTTTTATTTGTTATCATCTTAACCAATTTTTTGTTAAATGTGTTACATTTAATAAGAATATTTGTATAATCGACCGCCCGGTTTATACTTCGGGTATTAATAAAATAGTTACTAATTTTTGTCCCAGATTATGCTCAATATTTAAATAATTTTTGTAATTTAGGTCAAGTTAAATACCCAAATTGTATTTAAATTATCAACTTTTGCAGGTTCTTGTAACTATCAAATATTTCATTTGTATGAGTTAATATAATACTATATTTACAGGCTATGTAACATATGATTTGATACATTTCTATTTACATTACGGTTGTCCCAGAGAAGGCACGTATCTCTATACTATGAAAAGATATCACAACCAACATCACTTTGCACATCATGAAAGCGGTGAGTATAGTATTTGTAACTACATCTAAAAATCTTTCATATTATCCTAGTTTAATAACTAAATATATATTTTGTCATAAAAAAAAGTGTGATACCATTAAGCCTAAAGTATGAACCTAAAAAGTACTTAATTATAGATTAATCAATAAATAAATGTAAATAATGAAATATTCTCAACATTATTTTTATTTTGTAAATAATTGAATAGGTTATGATAAACGAATTATCTTGAACTTATGTATAATTCAAGGTGTTATACAAACCTAAATTAGCCATAATTAAACTTTGGAAAATTTAAACATATTTTCATATTTATATAATGGATTTTTATTTTATGTCAAATTTTTTTTTAGGTTTTGGGATCAGCTGTCAGTTTTGGGACCACATATTCGGTACAGCAATTGCACTGAAAAAGCTTAGCCGATGTTTAAAATGGTATTAAAATAGTACCACCTAACACGTGCCTTAAACAAAATTTTATATAAATATATGTAAGACAAAGATATATTATATGAATATGTTGAGAAATTAACTTCCACTTACAGTGTCGCTCTTCTACCACCAGTTAATTGTAATTTACTTCAATACCAAATTCAATGTTTTAAGTTAAACATATTTTACTGCACACTATTTACATAACACATTAATTAAAAATAAAATTAATTTAATCTTGTTATTTGTATTTTGCCTTTAATTGCTATTTATGTTAAAAAAAGAGCATTGAATATTTTATAATTCATTATGTTGTTTTCTTTACGTTATACTATTTTTTTCTCTTTTTAAATAAATAATAATGAAGAAAGATATTTTTTTTAATATTTAATTATATCTAGGAATGATCTCAAAAAGAAATCTTATAGGAGTGGGTGTAAAAATTAGCACAACTAGCTTAGGATTCCTCCATTCAAAATTTTTCAATGTGCCACTGAATATCAGTCAAAATTGACTCGCTACTAATCAAAAAAATATAATTATTGTTTTAAATAAATAATTTTTGGCTAGGGAAATTGTTTTCTCATTAACCACTCCAATAAAATTTGTTCATATTGCACCAATGAGTGTAATTTTAAAATTTATACCTGAAATATTTATAATGATAATAATTTTCTACTTTTTTAGATATTTTGTTTTAAGTTTAGTTCTCTTAACTGAAAATTATATAACAATTAAGGAGGTAATGGTTGATTTAATTTCATTTATAGAAATAAGTATTTATTGAATTATACTAATATAATCTCATATTTTAAATCTATGTATTTTATTTTAAAATGTTTTTGATGAAAACTTAAAAAATAGTATTCTAAAAGTTATTAAATAAAACTGGCAAGTTATATTCTAATGGAAATATTCTATTTTTCAAAAAAAATGTATAAGTTGTTTTTTTTTTAAACTTTAGTAAAAATCAAAGTCAAACCATATTACAACAAATAATTATTTAAAATTTTTACTATTTAGTATAAATATTTAATTAAGTTTTCAATGATAAGTACACAAAAAAATATGAAAGAATTCTATACAAGTCGTTGAAAAAATAATTCAAGTATACTTTATTTTGATTCACATTTTGCTCCTTGATAAAAATAAATAATAACCTTATTTAAAATTAAAAGCGGTTAAAATTAATTTTTAAATTTAAATTTAAAAAATTAATCGACAAAAAAATTGTTTAAGTAAGTTTTTAAAAAAACTTAATTAGAAATTTCATAATTAGTTTAAAATAAAAAAATTTGTTTTTTCTACAATTAAAATTTTAATCTACATAATTTGAATTTATCACGCATTTCTAATTCAAAGGACACACCTTAGTTTTTATCACATAGTTTTCCATAAAATAGATAAAAATTTATAGAATAAATAAATTTTCATTGTAATTATTAATTTAATAATTAAAGTTGAGTATATCATTTAACATGGAAAATTTATTTTAAATTATTAATATTAACAATTTCTTAAGTTATAACTCTATATAAATCATAATGTTAAGATGTTAAAATAGTAAAATAAATATTACTCATCAAATAGGCTGTATATTATCAATTAAACATTAAAATATTCTTACATATTATAGAATATATTTTACATGGTATTTTATATAATAAAATAATAGAAAACAGAGTTAAACAGTTTTAACAAAAAAATAATATAATAGTGTTTTAAATTACATTAATTTTCCTTGAATTAATTAAAAATATCTTTGTGAATCTGTAATTAATAAATACATGGGATGGGAAAATATTAAGGATATGATATAATTTATAAATTAAAATATTCAATAAAATTCTATTAAATATTCAATAAAGTAGTCGCATTGAGATTTTAAAACATTTGTAAGCGTTTTTAAAATCAAAACACTAATACTGTTTAAAGGTAAACGGGTAAATTCAATAATATCCTGGAATGAAGAAAAAAAAATTGGGTGTTTCCTATCTTGATAGCCTTCATGTGTTTTATTGTATCTTCTAAAATCACAACAAAAATTAATTGCTGTATCTCTATCTTCATGATGTATGTAATGGAATACAGTAGCCTAAACAAAAAAACCTAAAATATTCTCTGAAAATATAGTTTGAATACATATTTGTATTGTCAAAATATGTCAGTATTCATATAAAAAGTAATTTTTACTCCTCTATCACTGATGACTAATTTTGAATAAACAAGTTGAAAAAGCATTTAATTAAAAATAGCAATATCCAAAATCTTATTTTTGTTTATCTAATGTAATTATTCAATCAATATAAAAACAAAATTAATTTCTATATGTTATTAAAAATATGATAATTTTTAATGTTGAACAAAAAAAAGGGTTCAAAATAAATAATGTTGAACATTTTTTTACTATGGCCTCCTCCATTATGAAATCTTGGTTACACCACATTACCTATATCTTCCCTTAGCCTATATTTTAGTAAGTATTAGTAAATTTAAAAAAGGCATTGATTAGAACTATGGATTATCTCTTATTTGAAAATATACTCTGTGCATCTCTAAGACTATATAAACATTTTATAGGTTTATTATTTAAATTTTACAAGGCTATATTATAAAATTGTCTATTATGTTATATCATATGTTATAAAATACAGTGCATGACTATTGCTGGAGTCCATTACTAATGTTTGTTAGATGAAAAATATAAAGCTTTTCCAAGTTAATTTTCCTGTTTTTAGCATTCAAACATACATTTCAAATACTCATATAAAATTATTATTTTTAAATAATTTTAACTGGTTTCCTAAAATTCAAAAAATAATAATTAATTTTTTTTTGTGAAATGGAAAATAAAATGAATTAAATTTTGTTATTCATTTAAAAAATACAAAGATTACAATGTTTCAAATTTAATTTATTGTTTATATATTATTTTTGTTAGGATTAGTTCTTTAGTTCATTTTTAAAACAGAACAAAAATTCATTTTTGATGATTAAAATGAAATAATTTAAAAAACAAATCTTAGTAAACGTATAATTATATAATTACGTTATAACTCCAAAACCTTACTTCATAACTAGTTTTTAACATTTCCCTACGAAGAAGATACCTTCCATACTGAAACACATTTTGAACACTATAAATACTGCTAATAGGTGCACCATTAAAATAGCTTGATACATATTTAAATTCAGAAGAGTATATATTCACCAACTGGATATCCATTTTTTTTTTTTATTTAATTAAACCAACTATATTTTAAAGTAATTTTTAACTAGATATAATATTTTAACGGCAATTGCTGTTAAACAAAAACCAACTGATTATTTCATACCATAATCACAGACAATATGAAATATTGTCAACTAAATATACTTTCATATAGTCTGTGTTGAGTCTACAGATTAGTAATGATAAGTAATTGACAAGAGTAACAGTTGACAAACATACCATAAAAATACGATTAAAAATTCTAATGAATTAACAAAATTAATACCTTTTACTTACATTTAACATATGGCGCCAGGATGATTATTGGACACTTTTAACTTTAATCGAGTATACATGATTTAATTTTTCTATAATTATAATTTTGTTTTCTTTATAAATACAGTTACAAAATTACGTACGTTATTTATAGTAAATAAACGTTTAAATCTTTACAATTCTTTATGATATTTTGTTTCAATAGACACAAATTTTGTTTTTTCATCGATTTGAACGGGTTGGCGACAAACTGTTAGTCGTACCGTTTTGCGCTGAACTTAAACCAATATCGAACAGCTTCATCTATTTTGTCATACTAGTACACAACAGTGATCAACTGATTGATTGACTTAAAAAATAAGTAACATTTTCTTTAGTTTTTTGACACTGTATTTATCAATTTGTTTATGGACTGAATGAGCTTCATCTGAACTACAAAAATGTTAATAGCTGTTCGATTTTTCTATTTATACAATCATCCTTCAAAATTCTTATACGTGAATAACTACTAAAAATATGGAGTAAAAATTTTTTTTTTTTAATTGTGTGACTCATTTAATGACAATTTTTTTGGTAGCATTATTTATATTAAAAAATTACTGATTAAATTTTGCCACGTGGAAGGTGGACACCCTCATGACGGCCCTGTCATTAAATATATATTTCAAAGGCTAAGCATTAACGAGTTATAATTATGTTAAACTTTTTAACTTTGATTGTATATATCTTGTAGTTACAGCTTGCTTAATGGTACATTCGAGTAAATTATTATGAATTGCTTGAAATAATTAGTTAATTAGTGACATTTATGTGCTAATTTGTTAGTAAAAGTTCGAATTTTTCAGTAGAATATATAAAAAAAGAAATTAAGATATTGGTAGAATATAATAAGTCTTCTTGACGACACAGGCAGAAGTGCGATTAGACCGCAAAGAAAATTTCCGGTAGCCATCTAAAGTAAAATTTTAATTCGGTTAAAAGTGTCTGAATAATATTATTTTAAAATATGTTAATATTCTTTCAAAAAGTTGAAAATATTTTTCTTATACTCTTTAAAAAATCAGTAAAATATGCTAAAAATATTCTATTATTAAAATATATTCTCTTAAATTCAAAATACTTTTATAAACTTTTAAAAAAATGTATAAGAACTAAATTGATTATTACATATATTTTACAATTTAAAAAACACGTTTTATCTAAGTTTACAAGATAATTCAAAATTGAAATTCAAAAGACACTCATTTAGAAACTATTGAGAATTAAAATGAAAAATAGTAGTTTAAAATATTCTACAATAACGCGTAGCAAAATAATTTTTTTGGGGGATTTAAAAAATTTTATATTTAATTTCTTTAATGGAACTTCTATTTTTAGTTTACTAATAAAAATGTTACAATTTTGTTTATCTAATTTACCCAATCCATTACAGCATTTTAAATACATAGAGTACAAATATACCAGTAAATTTGTAAACTTGAAGGGATGAAAAAAAAAAAAATTGTTAAATATAATATTACATGTTATTGTTGGGTTTAAACCTAATATTTTATCTCTTCACAAAAATGTAAAATTTTTTAGAAGTTTTTTTTATAATTGTTAAACTTATAAAATTATTTTGTATTAATTAGCTTTTTATTCTTAAAAAAATCTTTTATAATAAATTATTGCAAAACATAAACATTGAAATTCCAATAAATTAATTAATATATTTTAAATTTTATATTTTTTTTTATACAAAATATTTATTATGAAATATTCTTAAATATGTAAACAGAAATATTTTGAAGCCCAGTTTTTTGTGAGTGCTGAAAAAAAATATGCATCTTCTTATTCCTCACCTAAATCCCAACTACTAGGGGTCGGCCACCCTTACCCTAAATTTCTACTCGACATGATCACTCACATTAACCTTCTCATATCGCATTCAATTACATCCATTTATCTATTTTATGGTCTTCTTCTACATCTTCTTCCATCAACATTCATTTCTATAACTGTGTTTTACAGTTATTAGTTACTGTTCTATAAAAGAAATATGTCCATAGTAACAAAATTCTGACCTCTAATCATAAGGAAAGATTTAATCTTAAATAAATTGGGTTTTTTCTAATTTTAATATAATAAATATGTTTTTAAAAAATGATTACTTAAAAGGATACTACAAAAATGAAATTTTCATTTATTGCTTACAAAAAAAAAAACTTTTATTGTAATTAGGTAACATTGGTGTATAAGAGCTAAATGTCTGAAGGTGCTAAAATGAGTTCATAAATCCCATTATACAACTTATAAATAAAATTTGTCTGTTTTTACCCCTTAATAATAATTCTAATCTATAATTATATTATTATACCTTTTATTCCTTTCCAATTAAAATAAGGTACCCAGTAATTATAGAAATGTAAATTTTTTAAAGTACAAAATTAATATACTATTCAAAAAAAATTTGTTTGTTTTCTCATATTTCATATTTTCCTAATTATCAACATTTATTTGATTCTTTTAATTCCAGGTAGGTCTACATTTGAATATAAACAGTAATTTTTCCACTTATTAGGTTTTACAGTTGCATAGTTTAAAGAAAATTTAGTAGGTTTTATGTTAAATACATGAAAATATTTCATTAGTTCATTTTCTTCGCGTTTAAGAAAACCTATCATAATTTTGGTGTAAAAATTATTATGGACAACTTTACAAACAGCTTCAAAGAGTTTTTCCATAGGGATGTAAAAGAAAGGAGGATCAAAAATAACGACTCGAAATTGGTTTTCTATCTCATGAGGATGTGTTATGTCGTAGTATTTAAATTTAGGTAAATAATCAAATCTTGTATCTATATCCAATAACACTTCTTCCCGTCCTTTCAAGTGCCAGGCATGAGCCAAACTAGGTGTTGTAAGACAACAACATTGCTCATAGAAGTCTTTAAGAGCATTCATTAAACGTTGAACAGTTTCTTCTGTCCAAAAATATTGTTCAAGATCATGTCGCTCCACAAATCCATCAGCAAACATTGATCTTAAGCTAAAAAAAACAATTTTATGCACGACTATAAAAACATATGAAACTATTTGTTTACAACAGAAAAATAATTGTTTAATAATTCCAAACTAGATATAAAAATATACTTATATCTTGTTTAGAACTTTTAAATTTTTTTTATTTAAATGTTTTTTACTAACTTTGACATTTTTAACGCTGCAATATTCTTCAGAGTTAAAGATTTAAATATATTTCTTTAATTTGTATAGATGACGCTCTTATCTCCAATGAATAACTAGGTACTGTATTGTTTAAATTTACACGTCCATAATACTTTGTATTACTTAGTACTTATTTGACTTTTATGTTTAAAGTTTTGTGTCATATTATCGAATAACACGAAATTATTTGTGACTAAGTAATATTAATAATATATCTAAGCTCGATTTAAGATATTTTACTTTCCTGGAAAAATTAATTGCTGACGTAGGTTATACTGTTAAACTTTTTATTTTCCTTATCACTTTATATATTTGATGAAAACATCTAATATAAAATTTGCTGTCTTAGATAGACGCATGTCATGAAGCAGATCTAATGATTTTTTCTCTGAGTAAATAATACTAAATGATTATTTTAATTTGGGTTAGGTTACATCCTATGACCCAGCGCCTAACCACAAACGAATAATATCACCATATTAGTTGCTCGTTTCCTTTCTATTTGAACAGTTTGTGTATTCTGTACATAAATCTTATTATATAATAAAACAAGGTAAAAAACTTTTTCTAGGAAAATTACTTATCATAGATTTTACTGAAAAAAGTTCAGTCACAGTTTAATTTTTTTATTCTGATTTAAACATTTCATACATTTAAACACACTTTTTTTAAACATCTAATATAATAAACATGAAATTATACAACTTGTATAATATACATTATACATTCAATTATGCATTTATACATAGATTATAAAAAACCTAAATGAAAGTAGTCATACTGAAGTTTTCGTGTCTTGAAGCTTACTTTATTAATTACAAAAATATGTGTATATTTTTATTTGTGTATATATAAATTTAAATTTTGATCCTTTTAATTGAGAATCTATTAAAAATAATTCAATCTTTTTATCAAAAATTTTATTAATATCGTTGAATCAAAGCATAATTCTAGATAGGTCTTATCTATAATCATAAACCAATGAGTTACAATAGATAGCTTTATCACAATATTTAGTATATTCAGTAAGTAAGCAACGGGCTTCTATTGTTAATATCAACTTACTTACTAAACATTTTGTATAACAAGGTATCATAAACCTTGATTCTATAAAATACACTAAACCATGGTTTGAAATAGAATTAATGTACCATGTATTCGTTTTTTATTTAATGATAAACATCTAGAAGTATATTTGATACTATAAAATCCAAGGGTATCAAGTGGTTAAAGGTTTTGATTAAAAAAAAAAAAAAAATAGTTAAAACCCAAATTTCTGTTACTAACTGGCTTTATTAAATTCTCATAACATTAATAATTACAGAAATTGTTTAAAAATCGGTAAGAATATATTTTTATATTTTCAGTTATCATTATGATTAATATTTTTTACATTTCCTTAGAAATTGACCACCAATTCATATTTTTAGTTTTTTCAATTATAATATTATATTTTTTACATTAATTACAACTCATTTTTTTTTAGGCAAGTAGTAGAAAATTGAAAACAATGGGTTTTGCTGTTTTTCCATTTTTATTTTTTACCATACTTTGGGGTGTGGTCGGTATTGTACTACCAATCATTGTTCCTAAAGGACCAGATAGAGGGTAATTTTATTTAATTTGTTCTATCTAGTATTATCTACTTAATATTTAAATATTTTTCTTTTTAGTATTCAACAGCTTGTATTAATGTTGACTGCTGGAACTTGTTATCTCTTGTGAGTAAACTTTTCATAATGTCTTCTCTAATTTTATATATGTTATGAAAATAGTATAAATTTAATTCAATGCCAGTTCAGTTAATTAAAAATTTACATGGAATTCAATGTACTTTTTAAAGTTATAGATCCATTAGAAATATTTTTTCTAATATAGGTTTCCTATACATGTTATGACACTTTTGATTATAATTTTAAAAGTATTATGTAATTAGTAATTTAGTAGATACTGAAACTATATGTATTAAAACAATTTAATTGTATATATGTTATATTGTAGTGTTCTAAGAGCCAGGTAATTTGGTTGTGAGCATTTTTATTGCAGTACAAAAGTAGTGCGAGTCATAAAAACACAATTACAATAGTTTATTGTTAATTTTACTGTTTTTAATCAGTATGTTTGTGCTGTTCAAGCATGTGATAAATATATTATTTAGGTGATATGATACTATCCTATACAAATGACAATTGCTCAATGTTTGTTGTAGCATTAAATACATTAAATGTTATCTTAAACCCAAATTATTTTTATTTTTATATTGTAGATTATAATTTTTTATTATTTTATATTGACATCCTTATAATCTACGCCCTTCTAATTTATGTAGTAAAAGTGCTAGCAAGCAAATAATATGGAACCATATAACATAGTTACTAGAAATCTTTGGTAATTCAAGAAATTTCTTGATAGTAAAAGTAATCATTGAAAAGTTAGGATTTTGATGATATGAACTAGAATTATGTACATTTTTAATTTAATGCCTTATCATAATTTTTTATTGAGACCAGGCATGAGCATAATATAAGGTTGGAATTTCAATCACTCGATTTTGAATATTTCATTGGTGAATAAATTATAATCAAAATAATGAGTGTTTGATTCTGTTACTCCTTTTTCTACTTATGTAACCGATGCAAAGAATAGCTGTTTTTAAACATGAGAAAATTAGGGAATTTAAAAATTAAAATATTTGATTATCCTGACGTGACAGAAAAAATTAATTTTTTTCATATCTAAAATTTAGCTGGCTTTGCTGTTATATGGCACAAATGAATCCTTTAATTGGACCAAAATTAAGTCAGCATGCAATATTGATAATGGCACGTGAATGGGTAAATATTTAATTTTATTTTTTATTACAAAATTTTATTATAAGGTAAAATATGTATCTTATATTTATTTTTTTAGGGTTATCCAATAACAGACTTAGCAAAGTAATGATTAAAATTCTTATTTTATTTTTATTTTATTAGTTTTCAAAAATTTTAATCATTCCATTTTTTAATCAGTTGATTAGTTTACTCGATTCATAAATTTCTTATGTATAATTATTATTAATTTTTATTTATTATACTTCAAACACTTTATAAAATATACTTTGTACTGAACAATTTTTTTTAAGAATTCCACATTTCTATAGTACTTTGTTGTGATTTCTATCTACAATTATTCATTTAAAAATAATTTAGAATGCAATCACATGATTTGATTTTGATTCAATCATGTGTAAAACAATGCTTTCAACATAAATGTGTGTTATTGATTAAGTCAAACTATTACATACTCTATTGAATACTTATAAAATATATAATTTTATCCATAATCTAATTTTTGGTTTTAATTAATTTGTGTATTTTTTTTTAATTTTGTCATTATTATCCTAATAAAAATTGGATTTTAATTTAAGTATTCATACATTTATATGTTTTTATGCATTCAGTAAATAAGTTTCCAATTTTAGATTACCTCTATTGTCAATTTCTCATATTAATTAAATAATTTACTTGAGTTTTAATGTTATCAATTTATTGTTTTACTATGTTCATTATTATAATATTGAGTTAGATATATATATATATATATATATATATACATTAATTTAAGTAAATAAAATTACAATGTTTGTAAAGAATTTACTTGTAAAATAAAAATGTTTGAGAACAAATTTAAAACCATTTTATTGATTTTGAAAATTAAGATTTAATTCAATTTATACACATTTGGGTGGTAATATTATATTTATTTATAGAGATTTTTCAGACCTAACTGACAACACTTATAACATTTGATACAGTTATCATACTATTATATTTTCTTTTTTTTAATGCTTTTTTGTTTAGAACATTTTTAGCTTCGATGCGAAGCTGAAAAGGTATTAATTTTACTATGAAGTGTTTTTTTTTTTGTGTCTGTATACGCTCAATCTCAGCTCTCACTGAACCGATTTTGATGAAAAATATGTCAAAAGATCACAAATCGTATCTAGTTGAAGACATTATCCTCAAAAATTGAAAAAAAATCCCTCGTTCCTCGTAAACGGGGGAAATCCCCCAAAAAATTACAAATTTAAAAATCACTAATTTTCGATATTTTTTCAATTTTTTTTACTTAAAAGTGCCATAACTTTTTCAAAAATGAACAAATCAATATAATTTTTTTTTTTATAGATACCTTAGATATTTACCTATCATTTTATATATATTTTTTATATATTTGACCCTTTCCCTGTCCACAGGAAGGGTTTCAAAATGGTAATTTTTTTACAAAAAATTAACTTTTTCAACTTAACTTTTGAAAATGTTCCGGAAAGACTGACACTTTTATATATATCTTAAATTAAAGCTAATGTAATATACTTTAATTTGAAAAAAAAAAATTTGACCTCTGGACTTGTCTTCATGGTAAAAATGACTACCGTATGCAAAAATATGCTATTTTTTTGAAAAAATTCTTGATATTATATTTTACATTTTTTAACATTATGATGCTATAACTTTTTAAAAAATGCATGAATCAATTCTATTCTTTAACAATAAATACTTTATATTTACCTCTTTCATTCGACATACTTTTTTTTTAAATCTGACCTTTTCCCTTTATACAGGGGTGGTGCAAACCTTTTAAAATGCGTATAGAAAGTAGAACATTTTCAACTTAACTTTTGAAATTGTTCCGGAAAGACTGATACTTTTATATATAACTTTGAAATTTGAACTAGCTTAAATAGCCAATTTTTTCTTCGACGGTAGCAACATACGGTTGCCGAATCGGTAAAACTTGTGTTTAACGCGTTGGGGTACAAGATTCCAACTCCCGTGTATGGCAATGAATTTTTTGCATTTTTTCTTAATTCTTTTTAAGTTAGTATAAATTTTTAACTCGTTTGATTTTTATCTCATTTACATTCAATAACTTCAATAAAGATCAAGGACCCTATCACTTTAGTCGCTCCTTGCAAGAAGAAATTTCTTATTCGTATTAAAATTATTTTACTATATTTTAAGTTTTAGCTTCGATGCAAAGCTGAGAAGATATTTTTTTGTGACTATCATTTATTTTCTCTGCTCTAACTTGACCTACTTTTTTCAACGATACGTCCAATGACTACAATTCGTATCTAGTTGAAGATATTACTCTCAAAAATTGAAAAAAAAATTCTAATTTATCAATTAAACAGTTAGTTATTACATCGTCTCCATAAAGACAATTAAAATCATTAATTTCTAATGTTTTCAAAATATTTATTAACGAATGAAGTTTGATATGATAGGTTTCAACTACAAAATTAAATCATTTTACTTTGTAATTTAATAATTTTTTTACTCTATTTGTGTGTGCTACTACTAGACTATAATATTACAAATTTTTTTTGTAACGTGTTGCTATATAAATCATTTCTAAAAAAAATGATTATTTATTCTCCTGAATTAACAATTGATTTTTACAAATGTAATCAAATTTTATAATACGCTCAATTAAGTAAATCTTTTTAACAACTTTGTTTTGATTGGTTCATTTAGTTAAAGTAAATCATTAAAATTAATTAAGTTCTCAATATTTCAATTATAGAATCTTTTCAACAAACAACAAAAGTTCCTAGGAAATTATTACTATTACTTCTATTTAAGTTATCTATTACCATAAAAATGCAAAAAAATATTGAGCTTTTCTGATAAATTTACAATAAATAGTAATTATAAAACTTTCTGACTGCATATTGATCTTAACGATACAATTTTTTTAATTGTCCAATTTTCTATTTAATGTCAATGTCAATGTCAAACTTGTCAATTGAGCTAAAAGTTATGGTAAAGTAAATTATTTTTTTTTATTATAAACATTTACAACAATCAACTTTAAACGATTAAAAAAATAGGTTAAATATGTCATTTTCCTTATTTTTAACATATTAATAATCAAATTAATATTAAATATTATATCAAATCAGTATTAATTTAAAACAATTTTTTTTGTTCTTAATTATTTTTTTTTATATGTAAAAACTATTTTTTAATAATATTAAAACTTAGAAGTTATAGAAAAAGTCTAATTGCACATTTTAAAACATCGCGAAAAGTTGATTTAGAATAGTATATTTTTGTTTCTGATGGAAGTTCCTTGTAGTCCAGTGTATAAAACTTATAACTTTGTTAATTGTTATAACTTTATCAAAAATGACCAAATCAGTATATTTTTTTTTATTTAGATGCATGTCTTTATCTATCTGTTTTTGTTTTTTATAAATCTAACCCTTTACCTGCCCACAAGAGGGATTCAAAATATTAACTTTTTTTTTTTTAGTTAAAGTAAATCATTAAAATTAATTCAGTTCTGGATATTTCAATAGTAGAATCTTTTTAAATATCAAAAATTACTTAGAAATGATTACTATGATTTCTATTTAAGTGTTCTATTACGATAAAAATGCAAAAAATAATGAGTTTTTCTGATAAATTTACAATAAATAATAATTANTGGTCTAAATAACCTTTAATTACAAGAAACCATACAGAAGATAATGCCTCTGTCAGATATTGAAAAGTCAGCTATAATTATTGAACAAGCAAAGACTCAACTTAAGGCTTTTGAGCAACCTATTTCTAACATAGATGTATCCAGTGTATCAAGAACAAAAATTGTAAATCTTATAAAGAAAATTTAAAGTTAACGCAAAATCATTTTGCAGATATTACTTTAGATGGACATGTTCAATGTTAAAAGTGTGGAAAAAAGATGCATTCTAATAAAAGTCAATGTCTAGCAGCAAATTTAAGTGCCGTTCATGTTGTTAAACAGGACATTGGGACAAATGTTATATTAAGTCAGGTAAAGCTAAAATTAGTTATGAAAAAATTAGGAAACCTAGAAATATATATAACAATAATATTAATGCTTTAGCTGACATAAATTGTATTTTATCAATCAATAGAAATTAAATAAGTAATTAATAACATTTGAATTTGAAACAGCAGCTGTTAGATCTAACATAGACAAAAATTTATAATCAAATATATATATAATGAAGAATGTAAGATACTTATAATGTTAGGTAACAAAACCTTAAAATTACCTTTGGCAGTTACTCAAGGTAATGGAGTTTCACTTTTTGGTAGTGATTGGATAGAAGTTTTTAATTTAAATATTAACCCAGAACATGTTAGAAGAGAATTTATGTCAACAGATACCTATTATAGGTATTCTATAATAGAACCATCAACTCCTTTATATCTATGGAATACTCCAGACAAACCATGACATAGAATACACTAAGATTTTACTGGTCCCTATGATGAAATGATTTGGTTTGTTGTAATAGATGCATATTCTAGACAGTTGAAGATGTTTTCTATGAAAAATGTTGATACTTCATCAGTTATTAAAAGCTTACTTTCTATCATATCTCAATTTGGTCTTTTTATATTTATAATTTCAGACAATTGAACTCAATTTACCTCTAAATTATTTAAAGAATTTTGTATATCCAATAATATTTAGTTTATATTAACAACTCCATATAACAGTAGAAGCAATGGAAAAGTTGTAAGAGTGATACATAAATTTAAAATCAGGTTTACTCAATCTAAAGACTGGTACATAGATTATATTCATCATTTAAATGTTGTATTATTTACATATAGCACATCACATTTAGCAACAGGTTACAGTCCAGCTGAACTATTCATTGGAAGACGTTTGAATACATCTTTAGATTTATTGAACAATGATTTAAGTGTTATTATGGACAAGAATGCATTCAAGATGAAATCTTACCATGATGCACATAAATCCAACTACTGTTTTGTCCAGAAGAGGACTATCTTATAAAGTTAATACCGATGATATTCAACGTGTTCATGCTGATCATTTAAAACAACAAGTTCTTAGAGAAGACGCCTTTGTCACACCACAAATAAAGGAAGAAAACAATGTTGTCTCAAATATGGAGAAGGAAGACATCACTATCACATCAGATGTAGAAAAGGAACATACCACTGACACTCTAGAGTAAGAAATAGAATACCTCACTGACACCCAAGAAAAAGAATCAGCAAGTAGTAATTTTAAGAGTTATGACAGATTCTACTTTGAATGAAGAAACCAAAGGAAGAAAATCTAATAGAGTTATTAAAAAACGGTAGCACAGTGAGGTCGAGGCACAGTGTGGACGAGGCATAGATGGGACAAGTATAGATGATATCTGACAGTGATTAAAATCACTATAAGAAACGCTTCGATGCAAATCTATAGATAGTGTTTAATTTTAAGAATTAGGTGGATTTTTCAAAAGCAAAATTCTAAATCAAAAACTAAATAAAAAGAATTAAAGAAAAATTGCAAAAAATCAATACCACAGGCAATTTATTATTATTTGACTAACACAAAAAAAAAAAAAAATAAACACATCATGGTAAAATTAATACCTTCTCAGATTTTCATCAAAGCTAAAACCTAATAAATTTCATGAATAATTTGACTATTAAAACTCAATTTATAATTGATATGTGTTATATTTATAGATTTGTCTTAAATATTGTTAAATTTTTTTTATTTATGGGGAGTAGTGTTACACATTTCACCCGTTATCATCGGGTAATCAAAAGTTATATAAGTTGTCATGTTACATTCTATTTTAAAATATATGTAATACACGTTTATGTTTCTTAATAAAACACAAAAAGGTATCTTTTTACCCATAATACACAAACATAAAATATTAACTAGAGCTAACTTTATAATAACATTAATTGTTCTATGCCCTAAATTTAATTACTGGGGGTAATTATTTTTTATGTCATACTCATATTATCTAGTGAATAAGATAATGTATAAATTTTAGGATGATAGGTGTTGTATTTTATTATTAAAAAAATTATAAGTATACAAACAATTTTATATATTTAAAAATATAAAATATGATGTAATGTCCCCTATCACAGTCTACCAACAAAATAAATGAATAATTTACCTAAAACAAACGCTACATATTTAAAATATTATAAAATAAATAATTATTACTCAATATTAAATTTACTTTACAATAGGTAAATTACATATTAAAAATAAGTATATATTTTTATTAATGTGAAATTAACTTATAGTAAAATTAGATAATTTTAGAAATAGTTTTAAAACTAATTTTGTCAAGCAAAAATTATTTAAAAAATTTAATAAAGAAAAATATAGTATGATTTTTAAAATTATATTGTAGGCAATAACGAAAGTTCAGAATATAGTTAAAATTATTTTGTAACCTAAAATAATATAAACCAATTTATTATTATAGTTTCATGATAAATAGGATAATTGCACAATATATTACTATTTTCATAAAAATAAATGAGAATAACTACAATATAAATTATACTAATTTATATTTCTAAAAATATAAGCATATATATATTTTATATTTACATATTAATATACATTGAGCATAATTAAGATTTATAATGTAGTAAAAGTTGGGTATAGATACAAATACACAAGAAAATATTGACTATAGAATAATCAGTAAAACTTTTTAACTAAATTGCAGGTTAATGTTCAATTGTTTACTCTTTAACTATTTTTTAATTATTTACATAGTTAGTATGAGATACTCAGTTTTACTTTAATTTAAGTAATTTAAACACAAAACAATAGTTACAAAATTCAAAATACTAGTCAAACATCATTATTATTATAAAACATTTACAGTAATAATGAATCTAATTTAATAAATTAAATACGTCAAACATTTTTAGGAAGGCTTCAAGATATATTCTGAGAAATAGATATGTAAATAAGAAGTATTAAAATAATAAATATTTATGGTTATGAAAATATAATTAAAAAAAAAAATCTAAGACTTGAGTAAAATACATTGTGAATGTGATTTGAGTTAACAATTTTAAACACAATAGATTTCAATGGTCATCACTAGCCGCAGGGCCATAAAATATAAGTTCAGGAATTTGCCCTCCTTGTACTCCAGTTCCATTGGTACTTTCAGAGGAACATTGAAATTGAAAAGTGACACATCCTGCATTTATTTCACTCAGTCCTTCTTGCCCAAAATAACTTAATTCTGCACCATCTAGTATAGCCGATGCAGTATAAAATAATTCCGGGTCTACCTGAACAGGATGATTAAAATGTACATGAAAAGTATTACTAGATCCATCAGAAAAAAATTTAGTATTATTTTCAGCGAGTATTCTGCCTAATCGTTTAAGCTCTATTTTAACATTGTAATCAGCTGCTCCAGTTGATGAGCCATATAAGCCAAAACCTACAATGAATACACGCCGATCAACACTAAATTGAATACTATCACAGCGACCACGGTATCGCCATTGATTACTACGATAAGCACATGACTGAAATCGATGGCAAGTTTGTGGTTTAAGTCCTATTCGAGGTTTAGTTGGGTAGGTTAATTGTGGTTTATTCGTTGCTGTAAAATAAAGAAATAAATCAACAGTCTCTTCTAAGGTGAGTAATCCTATCTGAGCAGGTCCATTAGCAAATTCTTCCAATGACATTGCTGGTAACCTGAGTAAATACAGTGCAGAATCTAATACTTGTCTTTTATTTGTTGGCGTTGGCTCAATTTCACGTCTATTACACTCTGCTGAGGCCCAGTTCATAGTTGCTTCCCATAGAACAGTTTCCTTACAGTTAATTGTTTCACGACCAAGTACACTTTGTAATGTATCAACATCAATATCAACAAAACCCTCTGAATATAATGCTATTTCTGCCTGTAGAAATAAATTTAGTTGTATTTATATTAAGTATAAGTTTTAATTTCAATTATTTTTTAACATTTATTTTCATATAACTATTGAGCTTGTTATTCGCCCTTACTAAGTATTGAACAAGGTATATTAATTATGGTCAAACTAGAAGCTGTTTAATCATATTTTTTTTTTTATAATTTAACTAATCATTTTAAAATTTTTGACAAGAGAATATAATTATGTTGTAAATATATATATATATATATTCATTACAATGAGATGGCCTAAATAATTTTAAATATTATAATTATTGTTATGATTGCATATAAAAGTATATATTTTAATTGTAATTTCTTTTTTTCTCCTAATTTTTTAGTTAAAAGCAACCACAAAAAAAAAAAAAAAATTCTAGATAAATGAAAAGAATGATAAGTATAACCGCATTACTTCAAAGTAGAAAATATGTAGTTTATCTATATATATTTTTTATATAGTGTAATAGTAGCATAAGAGTGTATAGACTTATTTTTCTCGTAGTATTTAGAAAAAATATAAGCCTAATACTTAAACATTACCCTTACTCGAGAATAACTTAAGGATTTTCAAGAAAGGATAAGCCCTTCAAATTGAAGATCGGAATATAAGATACAATTTTTTTTGGTAGGGGCTATAGCAATACTTTAATATCTTTCAATATCTTAATAAGATTTTATATCACAATAAATAAAATACTAAACATTTTTCAAGATTCAAGAAATTAAATTTTAAGTCTCCTCCATAAACTTAACTCAATTTAAATATATAAACAATATTTAATGTTTTAAAAATTTAAGATAACTTTATGAAGTTAAAAATTAATTTTTAAATTTATGATTGACTATATATGGTAAATTACCAATTGTTTATGTGTATTACACATAATATTTTGGTTAGTTGGATGGTTATATTATATTATCACTACAAAACAAATTTATTATAATAAACAATGCCGAAACTTAATTATAAATTGGCAATTTAAATGTAATGAACAAAAATAGTTAGAACTTTTATATATATTGCTAACTGGGACTAAAACAGTTAAAATTGCCTCTTCTATACCTCTACAAGATCTAGATCTGATAATAAAATGTATTCATATATTTTATTACGTTCCTTAAAAATTTACAATATTGCCTAAATACTGTTAATATAACCTGTATGCACACTTATAAGTATTAGGGTGCTACAAAAAAAAGTATTTTTTAACCACTGACTAAGCATATTATGAAAACTGAAACATTTAATAATTTACTTGAGCATCAATTACTTCCCAACATCTTTGCATTAGTTCAGGCTCCTCGAAAAGCCTTGACTGGCTGAGAAGCAGACATGAGTTTTTTGCTGTCAAACTAGTTTCTAGATAATTTACACAGGCCCTAGCTAAATGAGGTACTATATATTTTTTTGCAACATACAACGTGGCTAAAACTGTATCTGCTTCAAGTTGAATTTCATCACAGTACAAATACCTGAAAAGTATATATATATATAAATATTTATATATATAAGAGGTAAATTGAATAATTTACAAACTTTCATATGAATAAGTATAAATGTTAAATTAACCTTAAAAGCGTTAAAAAAGCAGTAGGTTCTACATCAGGAACATCAATCTCTTCTTTAGTATCTGCTAGTCCACCATAGAACATAGCATAAAAAACTGAACTCCCAGTTGCTAGAATATACTTATGTGATGGTATTCTCTGTATATTACCTTGAAAAATATTTAAAGAAATTTCTTTAGCTTAATAATCCATAACATATTAAATATAAGACTAACCTGGAGTTCCAACTATAAAATATATATCAGCCATTAGATCATTATTGAACATAGCAGCATTACGTTCACGAACAGTGGACTTTATAGCTTGCCAATTTGGATCTAATGTTAAATTAGAAACAGCAGCTGTTAGTAGCTGGGTAGTAACAGGAGATCCAACTGGAGACACTGGTGCGCTAGCTGGCTGAGTCACAGGTAAGAAAGTAGAATTTTCTCTTTGTGAAACATTTGAACTCGATTGTATCATTCCATATGTATTTGCACTAAGGGTATCTAAAACACAAAGTAATAAACTTTATTAATTAAAACTTATTTAGCAATAAAATAGCAAGTTTATTTGTTAAGAATAGCAAAATTTATTCTGTTTTGTTTCATAATTAAAAACTCATTCTTCATAATAATAGAAGGCATAAATTTACTAATTAGATACATTTAATTTTCTTTAAACATTCAAGAGGCATAACTATACAAATTTATTTTACATTAAAACATGCAAAAAAAGATGAAATAACTTTTATTACAACTTTGTGTCAAATTATGGGATACGTATGTTTTTTGCACTTAAGTATAAAAGTTTTTATGTAAAAAAAGAATATTTTCAAAAATAATTAATACATTTAGTTTTTGCATAAATGCCTTCAATTATTCTCACCATTAATCCATTGATTAGCTTGTGTTATTTCCTGTAATGTAGTTCGTTTATTTACAGGTTTATTACAGGCCTGGCTAACTTTATTATAAAAATTCGACATTATGATTACGAATGGATTATTATATTTAAAATAGGAAAAAACGAAATTATTTTTAGTCAAACTCAACACTTCTGAACACTTGACAAGGAAACCCTGTTTTGAATAGGTTGTTTAATAATTTAAATGATGGCATTTTATTATTAAAAAAAAAAAAATTAATTAAATAATAACAAAGTTTTGCAATTATAACTCATTATACTAAGACGGCCTAGAGTCCTATCAGACATAAGCTCAAAGATTAGTAATTAGTGTTACTAGTCCCACTTCTTATTACTAACTAGTATCATCAAAAAGCAGTCAATAGGTATTTTCAAATGTTTCCAACATTTTTTATTGAATTGCGCATCATCGAATATACAACAAGGGAACATTTGAATATCTAAATAAAAATCTAAACCCTTATTAAAAAAATTATAAAAATTAATCTAAAATGTCAATTTTGTGAAATGTACATTACCGATAAACTAAATGTATTTTAGAGAAGGCAACTTTGAACAAATATACATGACGTCACAAACTGGTGTACCATCTACGTCATGTATTTGCTCTTACCTTTTGAATTTCAATCGCGCATTATCTGAATATTATAACTAACTCGACCTAAAAATCTTATCAAACTACATCAGTAAAAATAATGGAAAAAAAGTAAGTTGATATAAGGGATGGTCTGTGAATTTTTTAACAATAAAAATTGAAGAACCTCTTTTATTTATAAAAAAGTACTCCCAATTTATTCAATAAAAAACTAAGCCAAGGCCATTGCAATAATAATTACAAAATATTTCTTACTACACCGCGTTGGCCTCTAAAGTTTGATGACCTAATAATAAAATACTGGTACATTTATTTTTATTAAATTTTGTGACGAATCAGTGTGTTGCTACAAAAATTTAACTTAAGATTTTATTTATTTATTTTTTTTTTATAATATAATAGTTGATAATCACATACATTTTAATTATTGTTAAGAAAAATTATTAAATTAAAATTCTGGAATTTTTTCTAAATTTATCAAAAAATAGAAGACTTTATGTATTATAGAGGTGACTTAGGTTTTCCCAAGTATGCACTTATGGGTTGATAATTTGCTCTTCAAATATATAATTCTACGATTTACTTTTTATTTTTTGAGATTTTTAATTAGCTTATCCAGAAACCTTCACAGTTTTTAAATGTACTAAAAAAAGTTTACAATTATATTAAATAAATTATGATATCGCTCATATTTTGGGAGGAATGACTCCTATAATCAGTTCGAGAACTAGACAACGCTGGGCTTAATGCATAAACGTTTAGGGATACTTTTTATTTTTTTAATAAAAACACTTTCTCATTTACGATAATGAAGCCTTTTTAAGCACGGGACCTTGGCGAGTGCATTGGAGGATTTGTCTTTCCATTGATTTTGCCTATAACCCTTCCACTAGATTAATTAATGTCGACGAATACCACAAATTAAGCCTCTATTTCTAATTTAGAAACAGAAGTCTCAAAATATTTTTAAAAAAGGCTATTTATGTGTTAAAAACAGTTATTAAATGTTACAGTATACACTTATTTCACTAAATTATTTTAAATGAAAATAATATTTCAAATATTAAAAATATAATTTAATTTAATGTGTTCGAAATCCACTCAATATTCGAATTAGTGTTATGTAAATATGAATAAGTTTATAAGAAAGTGTAGGGGTTATTAAATTTTAAAAAACATAATAATATTTAGAATAAAATAAAATTCCTTAAAATATTACGTATTATTTATACTAAATTTTGCTATCTATTTTTATCTTCTAATATTTAATGAAAAATTTTAAACTTTTCTATTGCTAGATCACTTTTTTTTAATTTCGCTGTAAAGATAAGAAGGTATTAGTTTTACTATGAAATATATTTTTAATGTCTGTCTGAAAATTATAAGCTCATACTCAGTCGATTTCAATAATTAGTACGCAAAAAGACTAGATTTTAATCTAGTTAACCTACTGTCACTGAAAATTGAAAAAACCTCCTCTAATTAAAAAATGTAGAATAATGTCTCATAATTACAATATTGTAAAAAATGGCATTTTTCATATTTTTTTCTGTATTTAAAAACTGCTATAACTTTTTTAAGTACTAATCCTATTGTAATTTTAATACCATGATAATTTTTTGGTATGATTTTTGTTTGGGGTCACAGCTCCTATGATGATTTTTATCAAAAAAGTTTTTCATCTTCTTCATAGAAAATTAATTTGACCATCATTGCAAAATTCTATTATAGTACAGGTTTCAGGAGCTTAATACAATTTCGACGAAAGAAACGTATTTACAGGAAAGGTTTTAAAAAAGAACATCCACGCATATGAAAACATTTTTTCAACTCAATTTTTGTAAATATTTTGAAATTACTATTATTGTTGAAATGTATTTTTTAGTTATCGAAAATTAGATTATATCATGTGTTTAACGAAAATGCTTTTTAAAATTTTTATAAAAGCTAAATAGTTAATTTGATGATATTTTTTATGTTGTATCTTCATAAAAACGTGCACAAAAGTATATATATAAATGAATCATTCATTATTGATGAATGTGTTAATGCATTAAATTCTAAACGTGAGAAAGTAGTAGGTCAGTCGTGTAAATAACATGAATAACGATTATTACTTATCTTTTAAGTGTTTATGTCATTTATTTATCTTACATAATTATATTAAGGACAAAAATGAATATAATTAACGGCTATTATGAAAACAGATTAAAAATAACTTTGAGCTCTACTGAATTAAATATATTTTAAGTATTTTTATTTATAATAGTCCATTTAAATTTTAATATTGAATGATAGTTATTCAAATTGATTTAATAATTCTTTGATTTCAATTTAGCAGTTCTCGAGATAAGTACAATTTAAATATCAAGCCCCTTAAATCTGTACAACAGTATACTTGTGCAAAGGTGGTCAAATTTATTTGCTATTATTAAATATCGGAATAAAAATATTAGATTGTAGAAAGCATTAAATATTTTAAAAATAAGAAATAATTACGGAGTATTTGGAGTTATGTACATTATATTTTATTTTGATAATTTTATGGTTCAAAACCAATAGAAAATAAACAATTTATATACGAGTCTACATTGATTAAAATTATCATTAAAAAATGTATAATCAAAATAAAAACTTAAACTTAATGGGCTTAATTCACTGCAATAAAATATTGCATAAAATTGTACTATGTATTCATTTAAAATAATAGTGTCTTTTTAAAAATTAATTATTTCGAAATTACTCAATTAAGACATTTTTACTACTCATTGACAAAATCTATTAAACGAAATAATTTTTTTAAGTAAAATCATAGAATTTAACTTTGAGTAATTGTCTCGAGTTATCACAATTATTATGGCTAATACCATAATCTGTTTTTTTTTTTAAAAATACGAGATTTTTAGTACAACAATATTTCTTATTTAAAATTATACATGTTTATAATATTAATTTAAAACTAAAAAATATTTTACTTGAAAAGCCACAAAAATTATAAAAAAAATCGAGTTCACATATTTCAGAAACAATATTACCATTATCCCCCTCATACACATACTGATACCCCGACCGAAATATATTCCTTTATATATCCGTAATGACTTTATAATTAATACTATTAACCTAATTAAAACATAAANGTAATGACTTTATAATTAATACTATTAACCTAATTAAAACATAAATAATTATAAAGTACTTAATATGAGGAAGAAAATAGAAACATTTAAAAATAAAAATAATTTATTAATTGGGATCTTAGGCCATTGCAAATTATGAAATTTATGTAACATGAAACAATTTGACAATTGACTAGTTGATAACGTCACTAAATGATAACGTTACTATGGGTATATAAGGGAGTAGTTTTTGTACTTTAGTTTTCAGTACGTGTTTGGTGCTGATGATGGTAAAAATCCCTGATGTATGATAGGCGATTTTTTTTATAAAGTAGTTTTTCCTTTTAAATTAATATTTTAAATATACTTCTAATTTTAAGGAATATGTGATATAAGTAGCCATAAATGATCCATTATTATTATGTAACAATATGCCACAAATATAAAATTGTTTCATAGTATGTTATACCATGATTTAATTATTTTTCTGTAGACATTTTTTTATTAATATATGATTAATAATCTAAAGTAGGAGGATTTTTAAAATACAAATAATCACATCAAAAAAATGTTTGACAATGTTTATAAACTTAAGTCTTTAAACATAAAATTAAATTAGAACTAAAAACACAGAACTACAGAGTGATGTATTTATCATGAATCACATAACTAATCGAAAAACAAAAATAATATTGGGATTATTTGTTTTTTTTGATAAATGTTTTTCTAAATTTATAAAGTATTTTTTTATCTTTATTTCTGATCTATCGTAAGGATGATAATTTTATATTTTCAATAGACATTATACATAATTAACTAGCTTGTTTGATTGATAATGGTTCAATTAATAAAATTACTGATCTTTAAC